GACGCTTGGCGCAATTTACAATTACAACATGCCCAGACAAGACCTAATTTGAAATTTTATTTCAAGGTCATATTACAATTATTGCAAAAAGACCAGGAAGTATTTATCATAGGAGTAAATTGAACAGACTCAATGCGTAAACAGCTTTTTGTACCGCCTATTTGAATGGATTTTGGCGTAAGAAATATTTCAAATTGTTGTTAGTTAATGGAAAATTGGAAAGATTTTGTAGATTTATTGTGGTTTTTAAAATATGCAATAAAATCTTATAAACTGCAAAATATAATACATATAAAACTATTGCACGAAAAATTGTGAAGAAAATAACAGGCTTATTCATAATAAGAGTTTGAACTTCTCTTCCACTTCTTTACATGTAATTTCAAGTAAAATAACTGATTGACGCAATAATAAAATAGCAATTAATTGGTGATTTTCAAATATATAGAAAGAGTACAAATTCTTTCATAAATCAAGCCTCTTTCGTTTTCATTGAAATTCGGAATATACTGCAGTAGTGGAACGAGTTGCATGTCCTTATTAGAAATTTAATGGTTATTTCTTGTTCTAGTCGCGTCTCTGCTTTTTCCGTTGATGTTGTTTATGATTTAATGATTGATTTAATTATTCGCAACTTTTCAAAGAAGCTGCACTAATACATCGATTCATTAAATTTCTTTAATAATGCACGTCTTTTTTGCAACTAATTAATGGCAATGCAAAAGCTTCAAACGGTTCGGGTCTTTCATAGTCACCATTTGTTAAACACAGACCCTAGCAAAAAGAAATCAATGATGGCAATGCGTGAATTCTTCTATTCAGTGACATAGCTTATCCTCTCCAAAGTTTGTATCGGATAAATTGATAAATTGATAAAACGGTGATCTTATTTTAAACAAATATTTTGACCGTAGGTAAACATTTTGACCTCTCATTGGCCTTATTTGCATATGTATTTGAAAATATTTGATCGGTTTGCTACTGTGATATGTATAATAACTGTTGCCATCTTCAGATTATAGGCATAAATATTATAGTAACATTTGTAAATGTATGGCGAGCAGTACGAGACACCGGCATAAATAATGCATATTATTTTTTACAAATGAAAACTCAATTTAAGATATTTATTTCCGTTAATATATTTGGATATATAAAACTTACTCTACCTACTGGGCATAGCAATACTTCCGGCATAATTCCTGTACGCTTTTACGCTCTCTGTAAGTATGTATGCTTAATGAGGTTTAGTTTAAAATAAAATACGAGCTTTGTGCAAAAAAGACCGAACGTTGTTTAAAAATAGCATATATTAAGTATTATTTCCTTTTCTATTCCTAAGTTTTAAACACGTAAGTGGATCATCACCTTTTATTCAGTAATTTTTAAGGGTTGAACTGATCATTTGTAATTAATTATAATAAATGGACTATATAATATGATATACATCAACATGCTTACTGCTGAGTTATTGCATGATATTGAATATTAGTATTATACACAAAACGTTATAATACACCTACTTGTGTATCGTAACTTTGCGCATGTCAAAATAAATCTACATTAAGATACGTTGTGTAAAGCTCGAACCAAACAAAAAATCAAATCATGAAAAATTCACTCCTGTGAGCGAGTGCTTTAAATTGATTAAAGTTGCCATACGATACTGCAAAATCCGTCAGGTATGTTATTAGGCAGTAACGAACTGTTAACAAAAAGATCGTATATTAACGCTTAAATCATACTGGTAGTGTGTAACAATGTTAGCCTATAGATGTGGGGTTTATAAATCATTCAATCGAGTCTTAAGATGTTTTAAATATGTTTTTTATATTAGGATCATCTGGAGGCTTCCTTTTATGTCAAGATCTAAATGTCCCCTGACAGGTGTCTAACAAAAAAGATTCTATTTTATAAAAATATATAACATATCATTGAATTGTTCAAGTGACATTATACCCATCAAAGAGTACAGATGAAAGTCAAAAATAGGTTTACATTTTAATATACCTCCTTTCAATTTAATAATTCATTTTGCATTAAAGATTAATAACTCACATGGCCCAATGAAATTTCTGTAAATATACATTGGAATTCACCTGTAACGTTCAATTTATCAAAAAGAGTGGGTCAGTCTTTTTATATTTAAGGGGATTTTTTATTTATCCTAATTATGTTCCATTGTCAACAGTGGGCAAGTTACCATTATAACAGTCAATCTTTTGAAATATAAAGTCAATTCAGTTCCGCTTGACAATGCAAAAATAAGTATAATGTCATTCTAATAAAGAGACAAAAATTGGGCAAAATAGATTAGAGTAAATTAACAACATTAATATAAATGTATACCATTTGGTCGTTTACCGTTTGTTCAACAAAGATAAAACATAAATTCCTCTGTATGTAGTATCTCTCATATAAATTATTTCCTTTTTTTTTAAAAAATCTCTGTAAAAGCATATAAACATCTAATGGATTACCACCATGGTCATGAAATTTGATATTGTTGTTTAGATATTTATCGTAATTTGAGTAAAATTTCAACAGTACGCTTGAATGAAGTCAACATAATATAATATAAGTCAACATATATGACAACAACTAAAACTGTGTAGCATTGTAACATTAGCGAAGATGTTAAAATGCATAATGAACTTTTTATTCAGACAAGAAAACCAGAAATTAAAGTTACGATACTATGTAAGCTATAAAAATAGTGGACATTCAAGTTTGTTTTATTTTGATCGAGTGGTAAGAAAATAAATATTTTCACAAGCGGCAAAGCCACAAGTGAAATATGATAATTTTAATACCATAAGATGAAAGTTAAAACTGTACTTATAGAACAGAACTTGATTTTTTGTTAATCATATATTTTTCCTATTTATTTCACCATACGTTTAGCAGATTTCTTTTTAATTTTGTTCATTGGCTGAATTTATGGCAAGACACTAGTGAAAATACGGAAAATATGCTTGCAATGAAAAATAATTTTAATACAGTAAAATATGGAAAATGAAAATATGTACATGTATTTTATTTCATCAATATTTTTGCAATATTTAATCGATAAGTATATAATTTAAAAAAAAATACAGATTAAGATAGGTATCTGCGTTGCTACGTAACTGTCTCTATAAAAAAAAAGCTATGTATATATGGAAAAGATGTACTTGGTCAAGCTAAATCTTACATTGAAAGTGGGAATTGATCTTTCTTTACAGTTCTTTTATTGTAATGATTATTGAACAAAGGTAATAAGGGTAACGCCATTATTGGAACTTGTCAACTCATTGATTTTGATGCAAACAATCACTCGTTGTACATCTTGACATAGATAACTATCATCTAACATGGACCGATGTGGTTAACTATCATCTAACATGGACCGATGCAACAGTTAATTAATTGCTTAATAGTAATATCAGACTAGTACAGAACAGAACATAACTGATCGACACTTTAAAGGGACGCCACTGAGGTTTTTTTGACATGACGGAACTGGAAACAATTTTTCGAGATTGATGTTCTATTCGATGAAGGTAAAAAAAGTAATGTGTTTTTGAAATTTTAGATTATTCGCTCACTCGGTTTTTTCCAGAATAATAATTTCAGTTGTGACAGAATAGAAAAGCGTTGCAACATTTTTCACTCAAATCATACCATAAACAGCTGAAAATAAGATTTTCTATATTGTTTTTAGTAGATTTATTAATTATCTTATGCTTTCTTTCTGTCATAAGTATCCCCGTTGATCTAATCAAATTTTATGTTTTAAGGCCTTTGAACCTCAGTGCAGCTTCTCTAATATTGTTACTTAAAAAAGAGCATCTCATTACATAATGATGAGTAATCATAATAAATAAACATTGCAATGATTTCAATATAGAAATTCTGATGCCGAGATAATTTGTTGTTTGGCTTGATATTATACACATGTACGTGTAACAGTTTTATACAAAATATACATTTATTTTCGATACATTCATAACAGAGAAAAAAAACTAGGTTTTTAGAATGCTAAAAATATAAGATACTGATAAAATCTATAGTGTTAACAAATTTATGAATAATGTAGGCCTTGATATTCCATGAGATATAAATAGCATTAAATAGCAATAAATAAGCTATAAAATAATACAGGTATGAAAAAGGCTTCAGGCCCAGACAATGCATGATCTACTACATGTATACAACAGTGACATTTCCATTTGCATTTATGCATTTTCCATTTTATATTACACCGTTTTTGAATTCATTGTACAATAATATTAACTACTTCGTATTCGAATTTATAGTACTACATGTATAAGTTTTTATTGCACCATATTCGAATTTATAGTACAGTAAGATTTTATTACATCATATTCGAATTTATAGTACTGTAAGATTTTATTACATCATATTCGGATTTACAGTACTGTATGATTTTATTACATCGTATTCGAATTTACAGTACAGTAAGATTTAATTACATCATATTCGAATATATAGTAAAGTAAGATTTTATTATCATTTATCTATACACATCACACATTATTATCTTTCCATTTATCACCACGTCTTACTAATTGTGTAGTATAGCATTTTATACTGTAAACGAAATTAAAGAACCTATTCACTCTTCTACAGTTTATTTATATCCATTGAATTACGAACATATGTATATTGAACTCTATCAGCATTTTACATGTTTTAACATATTCGCCAATGTTACAATGCTACAAAGTTTTAATTGCTGTCATATACGATGACTTAAAGTGTTAACTTCATTCAAACGTCATGTAAATTATATCTCTTTTAATTTGTACATAAATATTACATTGTAAATTGCATTACAAATGTAATAACTAATGTAGTATGCATGAATTCCTCTGATGTGACAAATACAATGTATATACGAGTACTTTGACTTCATGAACCAAACAGTAAGGCGATATTTTTTTCAGAACCTTTCAATGAAAAAAAAACTATAATGTAAAATATATATTTATACGTACCTAAGAGTACAGCAAATACCGTCAATAATGTAAAGGTTAACATTTCTACTATAATCGATCCTGCTTTTCAACAGATAATTCAACAATTGTTGTTTATAACGTGTACAATTTTTCACAGAAATTATTATTGATTACACCATTATATCATCTGAAGTGTCTACTGACAAAACTCAATTTTTCGATTTTTGTATACAACACTTTAAACTTTAAGACTATAAGAAAATCACTCTCTAAATAAACAGAATGCCACACCCTGTACTTTTCCTAAAATGTCGCTAATTTTTGTGTGATATGTTAACTTCCTACTACAAGGTGATTCATAAAAGTGATTCGAGTTTTATGTTACAAAAGAGTTAAAAATTTACAATTTAAAGTAATACAATCCTTTTCAGCGTCTTAAAACACCTGTTTATCCGAAACAATGTATCACTTTTTGTCCTTTGTAAAATATTATACTTGTAAGAACATGCGATAAAAAGCACTGTTTAATATCTTTTATTCATTATACAGAGATTGTGATGGTGCTATTTAAATAAAACGTATAAACTGTTTAATCGTGTTTTTACTTTATTTCAGGTAATTCCATTTACAATTTCAGATTTCCATTAAAAAGGCAATAAATTCCTATCTCTAAAGCGCTTGGTCTGTCATAAACCTACATTCCATTACAAGATTTTACTGTTTTTAACACTACCACAACCGTAACAATAGTTCTTCCAATAGACACACTTAACGTAAGGTAGTAAAAAATGTCCGATATAACAATAGTGTCAACCTCAAACTTTTAAAACGGGTATACATAAAAAGAGACTCGGAAATTTGATTCTTCTGTCACGTGACTGCCTGCAATAGGAAGTTACAGAGTGTATCCAAAAAGGATCGATACATGAAATATGCAATGTATGGCATTTGTTTTTCAAAAGAATGCATTGTTATTGAAAGAACAGTCAATATTTTTATTTGCCATTAAACTATTTTTTATAGTTTAAAGATCGCACAGGTTTACGAGAGCATAGCATGCATATATCACTTGTTAGCGTGGATTAATAATTGATAAGTTCAATCATGCAAAAAGGCGAAATATAAATTATTCAAAGTAATAGTTTGGATATGATATCATGCCTTTACTATGGAATGAAAATACAGTAAATATATAAAAGTAACCAAGCTTTCCAGTTATCTCGTAGTGCCAGATATAGAAAAATATTGTCCCGGTCACTTCTGACAACTTCCGTATTCATGCGCAGATAGATGCATCAGAAAAAAATCCGCTTGCGATTAAAACTTTAAACAATATCATGGTTAATAGACAAACGTGGACAACACTCTAGACCAAGCTAATAAAATCTGTCACTAATGAAGTTGCCATATGTTGTATCATTTATATATATTATACGAGTATGTAGTAATATATATCGCTATACTAGTAAAATATACCTCTGTAAGCCCGTGGTGCATATTTAAATTTGTAGAAAGATGAATAATGCTCAAAGACATTGGTTTAAACATATTTATTTTAGCTTGATTGCGAAACAAGTTCTTGCAACTTATATTAATCACTTTCGAGTCCGCTACCTGGAACCAACCAGTACTGGTGTCATATGAAGAAACATGGTCGTGACCCGATTATGGCTCGAAGCCATGATCCCTGGGTTGAGAGGCAGACACCTTAATCATTAGGCCATCGCTCCCCTCAAAGACATTCATTTGAAAGTAACTTCCTCTATAGATCAATCAATAAGTAGTGCTTTCCTGATACAAGTCAATTTAGTGTCATAAAATATGCAATACAAAAGATCTGATCAGACAAGCTCTAATTGTTTTAAATGAATTATTTACAAAAAATAACAACTGCATATTGTGTATAGGAGGGACCACATGTAAAAGTGTCTTTGTCTAACAGTAACTAAAATATCTTTGAGAAAGCCACTGAATTACAGAGACGCCTATATAATTGAAAGAAAATCATAGAAATATTAAAAGGAAACATATAATGCTTAACCTACACTACATGAATAGTTTTTGTGTGTTATGTGTTGTTGTTGTTTTTATTTTCAGGTTCAGATAAAAAAAATATGGACCGTAAAGTTGTAATGCATGTTTACCAGTCACGCCCTCTAGCACCGGTTGACATTGAATGTAATGATTAAATCTCCTTATTCACCATTACATACATTTTAACAGAAATGCATCGCTCTTTTGCTAATGATCTATGTTGTAACTTTAAAACAAAATTTAACTATTTTAGCAAATAAGTTTGTCGATAAATTGTTTTCAATGTTAAACATAGCATTCTTTTCAGCTCGCAAAGCAAGCATTTAATAACTCTAACACTACTTTCAATACTTCTTTGCGGAGGAGTTGTTTTCCTTACATATATTTATATCTTTCTATACATTTTGTAAATAAAAACAAATTTTTAATAACAACTTTTTCAGATTGAATAAAAAAATAGTTTCCATTTCAACTAACATACAATGTAATAATTTATACCCTTTACAAAAAGTAGAGTTTGTAATAGCACTTGAACAAAGCAGAATTATGTACACGTACTCGATCAGAAACGGTGGGTCAGTTAACATTATCTTCTGTGTTCTTAAGCTGTCTATACACTCTAGAATAGACTGATATTAAATTTTGTAAAAGGTTGCCTCGTATATCACGCCAGTGTGGTTATATTTCTAGTCCTTCTTCATCATTAATTCATTTATACCAATCTTTCATTATGATGAAGGTTGAATACTGCTTCAGCCGGTGTTAGGGTGCATGAGACATTGTACTTTCCATTACCTCTCATGCACAACCCCAATTAAACCAAGACTGCAATATTCACTTTATAAATGTTCTTTTACTTGCTCTCGAGAGATGGTCTCTTTTCTAGATTTTTTATGTCTCCACACATGGACTCACTTGAATCAGCAATGGTGATATAACTTCTCATCTATATATGCATAATATCTCACAGATTAAACAAAAAAGCAAAATATAAACATATGGTTCTCCCAGCATATTTAAGTAGTGTTTAGCACAGCGGTAGATTCCTAACCTTTTTGTACTTTTTTCTTACATAAATGATGGTTTCGAATGATTCAACAAACAAGTCATTAGTATTTGTCCCATGAACTATGACAATATAATACACAATCACACATTACAGTAAAGGATTGTGCAAAAAAAAAGGAAAGTAACATATGGTTACAAATGCACTATTTTTTAAAAACAGTCACGAAAGTTGAAAAAAAACACACTAAATGTATTGATGTATTGCAGATGTATTGATGTATTGAATGTTGCATTGATTGAGACTTTTGTACTTGTTCCTTACAACGACAATGTTGTAAGATATCACTTCGAAGCGAATGAATTGTTTTACTATACATAACCTATGTATACTATGTATGTTGTTAAACTAAACAGGATGCATGATGTTTTAATTGTTTCGTCAATGATCAAAGTGCCTTACTTAACAGAGGAGTTGCGTCGCTGAAATATTACAAAAGTACACTACATCATTGAACAAATTAACAGTTTATTAACTGTAACATTTTTTTTTTAATTTTATCCACCCACAGTCCCGTTTTCTGTTGTTGTTGTTTGTTGTTTTTTGTTGTTGTTTGTTTGTTTGTTTTTTTGTTTTTTTGTTGTTGTTTTTTTTTTTTTTGGGGGGGGAGCTATTTATTTTTTTTTTTTTTTATTTTATTATTATTTTTTTTTTTTCAACATGCGTATCAAACATTATCTAAATGCTGCATTTGATATCAAAGTTATGGCTTAAAAGGAAAGAATTGTACTTATTAAAATTAATACATTTGAAAAAATTAATGCATTCAAACGATAACAGTTACAATACAATGCTATAAAATATTTTACAAGAGGGATGATTCGGAAGTTTTCAATGTTTGCAATGAGTTTTCAACGGTGAATTATACTAATAAATACCTATTGAAACGACAATCCTTTATAATGTTGCCTATATCTATCGGACAAATATCATACAAGGACCATAGTCTGACTAATTTAGATCGATTGAAGTTCTGAGGTTTTGAACATTGACTAATAGTTGTGATAAATTGGTGGCCATTTCTATTTAAATTTAGTAGACATCCAATACATTATAGACCACTTGTTAGGTTAACATACATATATTGTTAATTTGATAAATTTGCTTCCAAATCAAAATACATATCTAATGGGAAATGATTACATGAGCAGCCAAATTTTGATATTATGTTTTATTTATCAAATAGAACTTCTTTATTTAATTCATATATTTTATCATGTTTTTATCGCGTTTCATTCATTCAGCCAACATGTGTGGAAAAAGTCAAAGGTGAAACTATCATATACTTTTTGCATAGGGAAATATATGTTCAATTTATAACTGTATATATGCGAAATATTTAGCATACACTGTACTTACCCTTAAATACGACCCGGAAAAGCGGTACCCGTCTGAACTATCAAGCATTCTATATTCTTGCAATGCAATGCAAAAATAAGTTAAAAAATTTATGTATATACTGTATATAAAAAAATTTTATACTGAAAAATAAAGCATGCATGAAAACTTTGTCTATTGTGTCATAAAATATTTATAAACATGTGTACTTTTTATTTTATGTAGGTTTTAACAGAAAATTATTTATTTTAAGTTAAAAAATATCGTTAAACAACAACATTTGACTTCTGATGATGTTATAGCACAAAAGGGTACATTAGTGTTTATGAATCTGTGTACGTAATGAAATGCAACAAAAATTGTAATACACTCATTATTTTTTACCGTCACGCTGAGAAAAATATAATCTTTCAGTGAAAATAAAATTAAATTTAGGAAACAATACTTTTACCATGTGTATTTTGATACAATAATGTGTATATGTCCTACACGACGTTGACGTAACGTTTGGTAGTCACATCAATACACGAACGTTAACACGTACATCCATCAAGTTCTGACAGCTGAGAAAACGTAAGAAGAATATAATACAGCTTACGACATGTTGAAATGACGCCTCGGGCAATAGAATATGAAACTATAAGTCAGTTGATACCGTGAAAGCACTGGATTCGCTGACAGGGAAAAAAGTATAAGTGTTTGGGGATTTTTTTTTAATTTGGAATAATTCCAAGCCAAAGGTTTGTAAAGAAAATAAATTCATTCATGCAACTTTTGAAATCATATTCCTTTACCATTTTATGGTGAATTTTAAATGAAATGGATATAAAACGATTAAAAATAAAGAAAATCACGTTCAAGAAGTTATTAAATAATTTGATTAGCAAGAAAACAACAACAATTAAAAGAAAAAAATATATTGATATCATTATTTTGGGTAAATTTAAGTCTATTTTTGATGTTTGAATATTATATCCATAGAAATTATATAATACGAGAGAACACGGATATTGATTCTAAAAATAGAATTTCCAATAAAAGTTGTTTTTGTCTTCTTTTTTTTCTTTCTTTTTATTTCTTTCTTTATTCAAACAAAATATAAATATATCTTTTAGTTTTTAATTATATTTCAATTAATTGTTTATTAGATGCGTATAATGGACTTAGTATTGCCGCTTTCAGAATAAAAATTTTTGTGACATATGAACCATATAGTAGATGTGAATCTGAGTAAGAATGAAGAACCTAATGAAATGAATGTATAATAATTAAAATAAAATAGCAACTGTAGCTTATTATAATAGAAAAGTGTCACATAATAATTACAAATTTATAGAATATATTAAAAAGAAAACGATTGGTAAAAAATACTTTTTAAACATTTTTTTTTCATTAAATTTTCCAAGATTTACGATTAGATATTTCTTAAACCATGAAAGGTTTAAATTATTACGAAAATACAAAACTCTTCTTACAAAAGGCTAAATACGGTTTTGCTCTTATTCGATATTATAGCCACACAAAAATGTGTTGTTTGTGTTTGTATAGTATACGTATCATAATTTAGACATATTCCTTCATAACAATGTCATTCAGTTGTCATTTTATCAAGTACAGAGCAAATTGAACAGGTACATACTAATTATGTTAGGGTACGGGGCAAATTTTTTGCATATATAGCTTAATTAGTCTAGTCATCTACCAACACAAATTTTATGTAATCATTGCTTGAAATATGGCAGGTATCAAGTTAACAAAATGTAGGAAGAAGCGATTTTGTATGATACAAAATAAAAATGGAATATCTATTGTCTTATCTTAATAAATGGGGAATCTGAACCATACACCAGTTATGGCTAACAAAGTCAAAAAATATGTATTAATCTAAGTAAATGTTGAGTCCATATGCTGATACTTTCTTTGACGGTAAATATGACAGAAACTTGCAACCATTTAAATAGTTATTAATGCATTTTGACAAGTTTTTATTTCATGCATGTAGAAAAGGGGGGAAAATCATGTACAAGGGGGGAAATCATGTACAATTGTCACCACGAATATTTAGAGTAAAACATTTTCAATGTACATTGTGTTTTCTTATGTACTTCTCTTTATCAATGAATGTAGCCTATCATTTATTATTGTACCAGTACTCTTTCTATACATGCAAATTCTACAAATCTATAAAAAAAAATCAAGGAAATGTCCGAAGAGAAGAGTAAAATCCATACTTAATCAAGAGAGTGACATTTGTTAAAAAGTCGAATTATAGTTCGAAAATGACATGGTTGAAACCTTCAACTTTGCTATATTTATTCGGACATATTGTCTATTTCATTTTACAATTTTATTCTTAGCATTCTTTAGATTTTTTTTACTATTGATACAATACGATAACGATGGCATCATGTAAGTACAGGTGATTGGCGTTTTTGATGACAAGAATTCGTATCTTAATCTTCCTTCGCAATAAAATGAAATTTGAGAAAAGGTGTGAACGCTCGGAAGGAATGAAAACAATTACATTATACGAAAATTGCAGGCTCGGTTTGAACGATTCTGTTCATAAGAGATAATGTTAAAATGCAACATCTTTCACTCACCGGCCTCGATATTTACCGCTAGTTTATGCATATCAAACAGTAAGCAGAATCATGTTTCTAATGAAAATAATCTTAGTAAAAATAAAAATAATCTTAGTATTATTCTACGGAAACTTGGGTTCGCTTGAAGCTTGATTATGTTCAAACATAAACTAAATCAATCATGTCACTCAAAATGGTATGATTAATCATTATCCAATCATATATATTCCGATTCATTATCAGATATACTATATTTAGAATGATTTATATATTTTTGTTCCCTGCAATGAATAACTTTGTCATCCAATGAATTAACAAATTTATTAAATGCACTTGATTATGATATTCTCCTGATTAACATGAACCTAAATATATACATCTATGTCTTTATATAACTAATCTATACACTTTTTAACTCAAATTTTACTTTAGAAGATAATACTGGGGTTAGCTAAGGTGATATTTTGTGACCCTATCATAATGAAAATGTTTGACAAGAATCGTGACTTTAGTAAGCTTCTTTCTTCAACCTATATTCAACACCATCCATTGTCACAAGTTCTCCGGGACTGACAGTTTCACTCCAACTTTACAATCAGACCTATTAATATGACAACGAGTTATGTAAATAACTTGACGGGCATACATCATAAAGTCTATAGGTTTTGCACTCCATCATGATGCAAAAATAGCCCTACGAAATAAACACTGTTTAAAATTAGAGTGAAAAAAATGTATCGTTGATTTTTTTGACATTAAAAAAATATGAAAAAAGTGAGATGTCTTGAAAGCAAAGTGAAAAATAGTTAGACTAAGTTTTAGTGAGTCCCTTCACGAAACAATGGAAAGGGCAATATCTCTCACACCCGCTGGCACCGGCTTAAGTATTATTTGTTTTCATATCAATGATAATTGGCTAGCTCATGGTTCAACTGGGGAAATAGTGTTAAAAATGTGGAATGTTGTGTAAAATTGACGTATGATAAATGGAAACATCGATTAAAGATGTATGTTAATGGTAACAAATCGATGAAACTGTGATACGTTTCGTTTCCAAAATTGTGATACTTGGCAAAGGGGTACATATGAGATTAGATGATTATAAAAAACATTTAAGAAAGAAACAGTATGACGAGTTGGGAACAGCGATGATGAAGATGTTAAGAATTTTAACACAATTTAATTTAAAAAGAAGAAGGCAATACATATCTTTATTAAGAAAAGCATGTAGTTGCTTACAATGAAATGACATTATATGGGTTTTGAAAACGAAAATACGTTGAGAATTAAGAATGCAACAAATTGGTTAATTTAACGAAACTATACATGTACAGTATATCATCTGTGGTGAAAGCAAGTGTCAATATTCAAATAATTCAAATCACTGTGCATGTGCGTAATCTTTTTGGCATTTCATGGCAAAACGAATTCTATTCAAATGATGTGTTTAGACCGTTCATTTGACGAAAGTTACATTGCATTATACTATATGATTTAATTCATAACTTATACAAGAAACGAATGAGATTTAAAACAAGGAAATAGTTAGATACGCTCCTACCTTGTGATAAATGTACTAATTTCAGTAATAATTTATTATGAATTATAAAGATGAATGACTTACATGCAGCTATTACATTAAGATCAAATTTGTGTTGCTTAAATATGTTCGACAGAATATGAATCTGACATTTAGATAAATTTGGTAAAGTTGAACGAATGTGACCAAATAGAGCGTAACAATAAAATGTTTTAACATTATATTACACTTGCACAAACCATAATCTTTTAAAGGATGTTACTTGTAAAACATCCTTCTTTAAATGTAACAAACTAGCGGCTTACGTTTGTAAATTTCCCTGAAATGAGCTTACATCATTGCTGAGAAGGAAAGAAAGAGATTCTCGAAACAGCTTGAAGCTTTCTACACAATCCTTTTTGCATTTGCAATGTAACTATATTGCGTATATATGTTTGTCTGAAATGAAATATTGTTTAAACTTACTAAATAGAAATGACATATCTTGCAAGGTTACAGAGAAATAACTTGAATATCTTGAAAAATGGGCATATTGTATGAAAATAATTTGAAATTACTCTTTTTGAAATTTATATGTATAGGTCAGAAACATAAAAATACACTTTGAAGGTTTCACGGCATACACAAAAAACTCAACATTATTATTATTAATGTCGTCATTACGTGTATCGTTATTATCATTATTGCTAAGCCACCAAGTGCAATGTATTCATTTTCATATACGTATATTTTTCAATATGATTTAAACATTTTACATAAAAACAGAAGGTCAATGGACAATTTCAAACTGACAGTATCATTGCTATTTTCAATAAAATGTAGTGTGTTTACTGCAATATTAACAAGTGGACATCGAGTGTTTTGTTGTTGTTGTTGTTGTTATTGTTGTTGTTGTTGTTGTTGCTGCTGCTGCTGCTCTTAAGCTTAAATAAATAAATAAAATATCTTCATCGTCTAATTTTGACCATTGACTTTGAAGTTTCAGTCTCTGATCTATGGTACTCAATTGCAAAAGTAATATTTTGGTGAACAAGCTAGAAATATGTAGGTCAATACTTTCTGACTTTAAATCATGCGCATATTTCAGTAGGCCGTCTGCGACAGTCTAACAGTTATTAATGATATTGTACTGACTTTTATATGATTTTTATAGATCGCCTGTCAATTACAAAAAATATCGTAAGATTTAAGTTCTCCTTCGGTCTTTATCGTTATTGACCTGATATAGCTATAAATAGATCATTGAACGTGTGTTTATATTCATGAGACACGCTTTATTTGACTTCGATGGTCGTATCATTGTTCATTTGTATCATTGTTCATTGGATTAGTTTGATTTACTAGTGTTGCTTGGTTACCTTTACAGTGTCGAATACGAAAAAAAAACATATTTTGAAATTATCCAAATTTTACATAATGTCGAATTTTTCTAGTTCTTTTGAGAAAAAAACTTTTAGTGTTAAAAATTCAAAAGTTATTTGGTTGTTGTGTGGGGTTTTTAGAGATGTTTTACCCTTAACCCAATCCCATGGCCAAACTCAACCGACCAAGTCTGCAATGTTGACCATTAATGTGTCTCAAAGGAACTCTTCTGATTTGATTCTGTCTTTCTGTTCCGACTGACTCTCGATGTTGTTTTGTGCAAAGCAAAAACTAATAAAGTGTTTCATTGATGTGCATGTGTAGGCCAATGTTTCCTTAGTTTGGGTGAAATGAAATGTTCACCGAGAAGATTTTGAAAATTCAAATAAAAATTTGTCTAATATTAACGTCAGCTAGAAATGATTACATGATTTATATGATAACTCATCACAATTTCCATACACTAGAAGATTCAATGTTTTCAACTGAAATGGAAATGTGCACCTTATAGTATAAAATGTATTTTAGCAAACATTTGGCGAAAACGAACAAAGATGAAATACAAATTACCTTTATTACATGCGTTCTTTTGTTATATCTTCTTTGTTATTAGCAAATAGTAGGGGTGCGATAGAAATGAAAAATTGATTATACTTTGCGTGCGTTTTTTAATATTAGTTACGATAAAATTAAAAAGATGACGTGCATATCACCTTACAATTGGTTGCATGCATATGTTTCGTATAAGTTGTTTGGCAAATAGACGCAGATGATTTAACATCAAAATGTCCTTTTCAATAGAACAAAAAAGGATAGAATGCAAAGCATATTGTTGTGTGCATTATTCAAATGCTTTGTGCACCAATAAAGTTTCATCCTCAAAATAAAGTGAAAAGCTTTATACATATATTCTCAAGCTTAATATGCTTTGGTTATTTTTGATCCCATATATTAATAGTCTCTAAAAATTGTAACTATATTTTAATTACAAAACTAAAACCTTTATATTTACACTTCTTTTCTTTCCATTTCCAGGATGGCGGGGTTCCAGTGTTTTCTTGCACGGATTTTCGTGCTTTGTGTCTTAGTTTTATCAGTGACAATAGAAGCCAGATTGAAACGTGGAAAATATGAATTCTTAGAATCGTTTTGTACTGGACCAGAAATTTATGTAGCGATACCTTGGGATTGTTCGGGATATGTTCACTGTTCAAATTTAGGTTCTCAGAGAGATGCTTATTGGATAGAATGTCCCCCTAACTTATACTATAGTATGGAGGCACAAACATGTATGTGGCCAAAGGATAATTCAAGGCCATGCCCTCCTCTCAAAGGTAAATATTCTTATATTTGATGTATGTAATTTGGTTGTTTGTCCATGTTGTCTTAATTGTTGCCGCGTGCTCTTTCTTCACAATGGAATAATTTATTCTTCCCTAACGTTATGTATGTTTTTGATTATATGATATGATTATTCATTATCACTAATTCAAACAGTAATCGATTATGTCCTTATCATATGTAAAAGAATGTGATATACATATAGTATTAATTATAATGACACGTTAAAGAATCAGAGCTTAATTTATCTCAGGGTCATATGCATATCCTACCCCTGTTGCCATCACGTGTCAAAAACATAGATAAATTAATTCTGCAGACGATATTAACAGATAAACATACAGTTCTTTGTTTTGTTTCTTAATATCGTGATGCATCATATTTATTTATAAGGTCAATAGTCTTGACAAGCTTAAAGCGGCATTCAGCTTTTATTATTTGCTGGAAAAACAATTTTGTGTTGCTTCAAACTAAGTATTTCAATATTTTTTATCTCGGAAAAGTGCATCATATCACTGTTAAGCCTTCTTCAAAACAGCGTCCCGAGAGCTATATATAACTCGTCAGTGACGTTTGTTTCTAAAAATAGAAGACCGGGAAATGAATCGTCCTCTTGACTAATTTACATAAAGAAAGCAGACCGGTAGAATAGAGTATCGAGGGTTTCCTTTGTTGATTATGTATTTTATCGTCGACATATTTGATAATAAACCTTAAGAAAAACTGAAGACTATTTTAACCTTTGGTGATTTAAGGTATAATATGTGCATCATTAATTAAATAAAGAATTTCATCATTGGGTACATATAAACTACATTAATGAATTCTGAGTATAATATAATCAAATTTGGTTTACAACGTCAGTGGCATAACAATTAACCACTAACCTGCCTGAATCTTTAAAGTCGTTAGCCTAAAGCCAGACCAGCCTGCACGCCCAAACCGTCCGACAAGACTCTATATTATTGGCCGACCAACTTCTATTTATTTCTTCACTAAATATCACAAAACTTGATAAATGGCAGTTTAAAAATTGAAGCTGGACAAGTACATTTCAGAAATCCAGTAGGTCACTGGAATGTTTTATTCATTACACAGTTGTTGGTGTGCAAGTGATGTTTCACCGTACATGTTTTACAAGTTGTTACCACATGATGTCGAGCTTGTTTTATGTTGTCGAAAGTATTGTTAAAGTAACACGTATCCTTAGATATGAACAATGTTATTTAGTAATGACTAGTTATAACATAAAATACCTTTGGCAATGTTGTGCATCGACTTCTGAGCACAGCGTTCAACATCGCATTTTTCATGGATGTGTGACGATACGATCCAAACGCTTTATATTGTATATTCCCAAATAGTGTCATTGTAAAAGAATAAAACATCAATATGAGATATGCTGTACCAATAATTACAAATACATTTTATATATAAATTCAACTCTTTTTATGTATAAATTCAACTCCAATCTCCAATTCTAGAGCACTTGCAAGAACAATATTATGGTTACATGTGTTGCTGAATGCAATAATATTATATGGTTATTTAAAGATATGCTATTATTTAATGATATGATTTGATTGCTGTAAACACTGAAAACTTCACCTTATGAAAGCATTACTCAAGACCGGTCAACCACTACTTTTATTATCATACATACCAACTACATTGCAATCGTATCATTAGGACCGAGGGGTTGTCTTTATGTACTGAGGCATCAGGATTGCAGCCACCGTTTATCCATGCGTGATCGTCAAAATTAATTTGAATAAATGGGTTCGTATTGCTGGATTCTATGCATCTTTAAGCTTCAGCCGGTGAGGTGGTTTTGACCCCTGGTGTTGCTTTAAGTGAGTAACACCCGAGGTTAGTCAAAATCATAGTTCCTGTTTCATCGCCATATGATCTAAATTGTGTTGGTGCGCCGTAAAACCAAACCAAACAAACAAAGTATCAATTGGTTGGAAATCAGACACTTTATTTTTCAAGAAATGACTTTATTTCGGTAATCAAGATAATTAGTTCATATTGGGCAGAGACTATTAATAGCTTATCAAATAAATGCCTCGGTTTTTATGTTTGCAATATGTAACCAGAAAAAGAACCACTGATCATTTTATTTGTTCTATGATTATTGAACACAAATACTATTTAAAAAAGATCAAACTAATACATGATAAATAAAAGTAGTTTAATTCGTCATAAACTTTCTATGAATATTAAAAATCAAATATTTGACAAAAATTCTTTGACAACGATGGTGTGGCCTTGTGCATTATTACGGAAGTGTGTGGCTCGACAATAAACAAAGAATGTAGAGATTTTGTAAAGTCGTGAGACATGTTAATTGAAATAATTCACTACCTTGTGAGACATAACATGACAAGATAGGTTATAAATACAGTCTAAATTTTGTCACGAACTTGGCGAGCTGGTAAAAGTACAAAAATTAAAAACTTTCAGCCGTGTATTTTATGTTAATTATGGACTTCAACAAAAGTATACAGGAATGCTTACAATAAGCATGGCTATATACAAGCAGGTGTATATTTGTTTGTTGTTGCATAGCAACACAAAAACAAAACAAAAGTCAGAGACTATTTCCTACGAAAGATCGCTGGGGACATTTCAACAGATTTCCTCTTCGTGAATTCACAATTTTAACTTCATGAATTCATGTTTTCAACATACGTAACACTCAAATTCAAGATTTAAGTTCATGAATTCACGGTTTCAACTTCATGAATTCACGATCATGTGAAATCGAGAATTCATGAAGTTAAAATGTCCCCCAACGGTCTTTTGTAGTTTCTGGTTGCCCTGTTTCAATTATTTTATTATTGCCTGTCTCTTTTTGAGATGGTTACGTAGTCGAGTTACTAAGGTCTATGACCTCGAAAAAAACTTTCTCCTCACATCTGCAGGATTGAATCCAATTTTGCCATGTGTCTTAACAGCGTAGCTTGTGGGTGGGGGTCACAGGTTCTACATATTTGTTTGTGGCTGAAATAATATGAACGAAATAATAAAGAAGGGGTTATCTTCCACAAACAAGCCGCCACGTGACCTTTACCAACCTGAGCAAAACATTTAGCATGATCTTAACAGCTGTTCAGTTCAGACAAATGAAACTACCGCTGCACATATATATAATGCTATAATTTTATTAAATTTATCAAACATGACAGGGTTTCATAAGTGAAAACTCTAAAAAAAAAAGCTGGTTATTCTTGGAGTAATACGTTTATTAATAATCTAATCTGATGTAAATGTATGAATCTGTGGTTTAATTTTATCTATTAATGACACTTTTATTTCAATAACTTTAAAACCTCTATGTGTGGGAATGCAGCTTTAATTAGCAGACACTTCCGAGAAATCAGACATCTCAATCTAATCATACATTTGATTTTTTTTCCATTTCTCTACAGTTTAAAAAAACCGACAAACGCATTTAGAAATGTAAACATGTTTGTAAACATGGTAATGGAAAACAAATTAATGAAACGCAGTGTTGAGTTATATTTTAGGTTTTTTTCAATTAGATTTTTACACAAAGGCTTTTGTACTAGATCGAAACCATGTGTAACAAAGATATCATTGTACAATTATTTATTGTTGCGTTTTTTTAACTTTTTGCAATTCATCTGGTTTCGGCCTTTTGAATGCATTTGGGGGAAAATCGAATAAATAACTTTTGATGGAGTTTCTTTTGATACATTTGAAGATGTTGTAGACATAATCAAGACTCGAGATATTATTATACTTTTTTTTCTTTTTTAAATCTCATGAATTGCATTCTATTGCTTATTGTACATCATGTGACAGATTCTGACCAACCAAATGCCCGAGATCTGTGTTTGAGCTGAGAAAATTCTTGACTGAGACTACAAAAAGGTGTTGGAGCACCACACTCATTACCGTAATCCGGTATAGACAAATGCTTACAATTTGCAAAGATTAAAATACATTGTCAAAGCAGAAGTATTTGAGAACCATAAGAACTCTGATAGTCCGCACAAAAAAAATAATTCAAGTTCTTCGGATTCAGGTTGATGGTTTTGTCTTGACTTTAAAGTATACTATAAAAAATGTATGAATATAGATAATAAGCAGATGCGCTTTTAAGAAACTGTTAAAAGAAAACACTAGATAAATTAGACGAAAACGCGTAGATTCATCGCAGTATGTTATATTAATTATGATATAACTTAGACCAAAAAAATGAAAAAATTACTTACGAAAAACAATGCTAGCTAATGTAATGTGTCGAAAGTTTTTTTCAGGTAATGTTGAAGGAGGTTAGCAAACAATTATACTTTATAAAGTCAGGCCTTAATACAACTGTCATAAAAAAGAAAACAATGTACAAATTTTACTGGAGACAACAAATATATATTTGTTAAATTACGTGATATGTGGTAAAGGCAACAGCGTTTTTTATGAAGTTAAATCCTTTTAATGTGCAATGTGCAGTTTCTATCTTTTCGGTATGAACCTTAGCCGACACAAACTGCCAACAGACAAGGCCTAGCGACACATTTAGCAAATTTTGACTCTCTACTCCACAGACAGACTAGAGTTGGCGATACATTTTTGCGCGCCGCATTATGCTGCAGAAAGTCGAAACTTAGCACATTTCTTGTTCTTTCATGGTACAGACAGAAAGACACATTTGACACAATTGTGCTGCTTTACGCTACACATATTTGCTGGAGAACGCCGAAACAAACTTGGCGGCACATGTTGTCTCACCGCATTACGCCGCAGACAGTGGATACCTGACTTTCGAGCTAAGCTTTACGCTTGCAGACCGTCGAGACTTGGCGACACATATGTGCCGCTTTACACAGCAGATAGATAAGTCCTGTCGGCATGTCTCCATTCAAAAACACAAATTAAATATTTTAGCGTAAAGGTATTTTTTAGTGTCTCCTGAATATGCATAACCAATTTGTTTACCGACATTTGATATGAGCCGCGCCATGATAAAACCAACATAATGCATTTGCGACCAGCATGGATACAGACCAGCCTGCGCATCCGCGCAGTCTGATCAGGATCCATGATGCTGTTTGCTATCAGTTTCTCTATTGGAATAGGGTTGGTAAGCGAACAGCATGGATCCTGAACAGACTGCGCGGATGCGCAGGCTGGTCTGGATCCATGCTGGTCGCAAACGCACTATGTTGGTTTTGTCGTGACGCGGCTCATATATTTTAGGTTAATCGACCCACTGAGCTACATTTTGCGAATATTTGTGTTAATGTTTATGCAAATCTTATAAATACAATATTCAAATAATAACCTTTAACATTCATTTCTTTAATATATCTAAAATGATCAATTATGTTGTTGTAAAGTATCATTCATATTACATAACAGAAATGATTCATGAGAAAGAGCTGATGTGAAAGTAGTTGTTTCGAATTAGGCTGTAATTTGGAAGCTTTTGCAACTTTTAATGTAAATTGATACAACAGCTTTTGACTTTTTTTCCAATTTCTAATTGTTTGATGTGCACTGTAGATTTAAAAGACATAAACAAATTGCTTAATGATGTTTTGATAATTTGTAACTAGATATGTAGATACATTGTGCACCTCTGGCGAAAATATAAGGCAACATGAGAATATACATACGTACGATTTACTCAAAGTGAAGTTCAAAAGTCGTATTTTCTGCACTGTATTTGTAACCAGTCATATTGATTTTATATTGCTTTTGTTTGTATTTGTGTCTTCAGATATCATTGAGAAGTACTGTTTGGACCATCCTAATATACGTTTCCAGAGTCCCGATCATTGTGCACAATACTACGACTGCCGGGACGCATCATTTACCCCGGGGCTGGGCCCCTACCTTAAAGAATGTCCCTTTCCTAAACTTTACAACCCATCTACAAATATGTGCGCAGAGAGATCAATAGTGAATTGTTTGGACAGGTTTACACCAACGAATAAATGTAAGTTATTATGGTGTCTAGATACATTGTTCCCAAATATTAAGACATTAAGTCTCTTATTCTCCTTGTACAATTTATATATGAGCCGCGTCATGACAAAACCAACATAATTGATTTGTGACCAGCATGGATCCAGACCAGCCTGCGCATCCGCGCAGTCTGATCAGGATCCATGCTGTTCGCTTATAGACCCTATAGCAAGTATAGAAAGTGATAGCGAACAGCATGGATCCTGATCAGACTGTGCGGATGGGCAGGCTGGTCTGGATCCATGCTGGTCGCAAACCCATTATGTTGGTTTTGTCGTGACACGGCTCAAATATGATATCCTTCCGCGGATGATTGCTTATAATGTTATTCCTAGATTTAAGCCTACCCTGTCTGTGTGTTAAAATCATGTACATGTACTTATAAGAAAAAAACAAATATCCTCAAGTTTTATTAAATTGCATGCTTACACATTTTACTCTAGTATAAAACAGTGTTGAATAACATTCTAAAATATTGCAAGCGAAAGAAAATGTCTATTTTTCCAGCAAATTTTAATCAGCGTCTTATTTGTATATAGATTTTGATGATTTATTTCGTCATAAAAACAAGCGTTTGTATATTTGAGATTTATCTATGTTGTCATGATACCATATCTCATAAACTTATAAAAGTTATCAATCTTATAAAAAAAAATCATGGTAGTAATTAATGATTTACTCACATCCTTGTCAGTTTATGTTTGTTGTTTATTTAATTAAGCATACAAACAAAATCATGACAACGACCTTTTGGTAACAAAATAAACTACTTGCAACATAAGCTGCCAAAATAAATGACAAATTATTTTCTTGACACGCGGTGATTATCATATCTTCGTCACGTGACTTTATAACATGCGCAATAAAGTTTTTTTTTTAAATTTATGAAAAAACACTATAATATCAAAGTGGCGTAAACTAGTCTAATGTCGTTTTTGCTTTACAAAATGAAAACTATTAATGCATCAATTTTTTACTTCTTTTGAATGGGCAAATATGAGTTTTATATTTTTCAAACATGTTAGATGCTTGTTACTTGAAAAATGTAGCGAAAATGTGAAATAATTTGTCATAAAAGAAGCCAAATCTAAACAAAATAGCATTTTGACTTCCATATAGAATACTTAAATCTTTTTCACTGTACTTATTGCCAAAAAGTAGCAGAAGGAAAAGATGGTCCAGGTGATTGACCAATAAGCACATTTTGGAAACTGAAGAGAATAAAAAGCTTTTGAGAAATGAAAATTAAGACATTTCTTGAGGATAATATGCACTTAATTAAGACATTTTATGAATCAAATATATATCTGAATTTTATGCGTTTATAAAGCCAATATTTGAAGCCAATACATGCAGCCATTATCTTCAAACGTCTGTAGTAAGATATGGTAGAATATGTGACGTTTTAGTATTAAAAAGCTAAAGCTGTATACATGCATCAATTAAGTCAATAAATGTTACTAAAATGTAAAGCAAATTTATATTTGAAGTAAATGCGAAAGGAAAAACAATGTTAGTAAAGAAACTTTACACTCATTGATCAATGTTTAAGGAACGGATTAGAGTGTGTGGCTTTAAGCTGTTATCTTCTTACACAATCGAACTAGAATACATTTTCTTATTTGAAGCAAGTGGGAAAATGACTTGCAAACATCAGACCTGCATGCCAAATGAATATGTCAGAAGATGTGTCGTTGCAATTTAAGCTCATTTTACCGCATGATAAAGTCAAATTGTTGAAAGAATAAGTCATTGTAAAATGAACCAATACAGGGACAGCTTCCAGCTTTCATTGTTTATAATGCTGACGATTTTGGTTTGCGTTCAACCGCATCAAACTTAAGCAAACCGCCCAATTGTGTACCAATTAGTGTTGCATTCCGATCATAAAATATATTTATGTTTACAAACAGTTTAGAAACAAACAAATATATTCATACTCACTAAACCGCATGACAGCTTGAACAATGAGTAAAATAATTATATTTTTCATACGCGTAACTGGTGCGCAAGAAAAAAAAATGACACACGATGAAAATGTTCATCATTTCTAATACTTTCCTGGCGACACATTAACGTAAGAGAGAACGCTTTAATTTGTACTGAAAACAAATGATGGTTTTACACATTTAATAAATCAATGACCCCCTCAGTTTTTGTCATATAAATAATCACCACATAACGTTATATAGGTGTATCAGCTATCAATCTCGCCGTGCAATGCACGACACACAATAGTCCATTTAGTAAAAAGGTCGAATGATTGATCGCCTGGTATAGAAACTGTGGTATCATTGCTACATTTTTACGTATTAAATGAATATAAAAGTCATTATGTATTAAATTATTATTTTGAACTATTTTTCGTGATTATAAAAAAAAATACAGTACGGAAAATTGTTTTCTTTTTGTATTTTTGTGATTCATTTTGACCAGAAAATGTAGAAAAATACGAGAACACGAGAAGAAACTTTGACATATGACTAGAAAATTACGTACAATTTAATAAAAAAATAAACTTCAGTCACTCGATGTTTAATATTTTTTAGTGTCCATAATAAAGAAGTGAACTTATGTTAACAATCTCAAAAGAGTTTGATGATGTTCAATTCGTTTTCTTGCAATTTCAGCATAAATATTCAAAAGTGTTTGTAACGTCATTGAGACTAAGGAAAATATGTGCATATAAGTAGTAGGGGATTAATTTAATCTGATATAAAACCGCATCATGTCAATAACATCAACGATATAATTAGACTTCTGTCTGTCCGATGCATACGCCGTTCCCATAAATAGAATTAATTATATATAATTAAATATATTTAAAACACGTGGGGAATTTCCGGAAATACGTTTATCCGCGTTTTTTTTTCCAATTAAATCGTACATTTATTGCTCCACAGCTTGTTCATTTATATGATTTCCGCAAATGAACAATTTATTCAATTAAAGCAGCAAAAACAAGACATATTTTATAAACAGTGGAATTCATGAGTAAAGTAAATATATTTATAACATTACCATTTAAACACTGATAACGGGGAGTTTTTTTTAAAGAATACGAATAAATAATTTAATAAAAACTTGTAGAGCTTCCTTTTTAACATGTGGTGTTTGTAACTTAATTAGCAGAATGTTTAAACCAACTTCATCTTTTTTTTTCATCTTTCTTTTTCCAGGCGACTATGTTCAGCACGCTGGATCCGGTGTTAATTGCGAGGCCATTGGCACGCCGGGATGCAGTGGTATGCCAGACGGACCAAATCCCTACCCGAACCGTCTGATGACAGAATACTACCTTATGTGCCAAGGGAATAGAACGATTAGCACACAGACATGTACAAATGGAGATCTGTTCGACCCAATTAAATTGATGTGTACTAAAGATCTTGATATGTGTATGTATGCTTTTAAGTATTAAGAATAATTTAAAGTATTAATAATAAAGCTTTAAAAATTCGTTAAAGAGGCAACTTTTAAGCATGATATAAATACCAACAACCTTTGTCAAATTCAATGATTAATCTGATTAAAATCAGTTCCTAATTAACACTACGCATAAGGATCTGACGGGCACCAATAGGGGGTCACCTTCTCGTGACCTTTCAAACAGCCAATCATCGGTGAACTTTCACAATTATGAAAGCGATGCCATTTCTAATCTTAACCGCTGGAAAACCAATATTGAGTATAGGTAATTTCACGATTTCGAGAACAAACATGGCGTTATCCATATAGCAGGTAAAACTGGCAAAACAATCTTGCCCATTAAAAATTGAGTCTTTTATTTCCAGTTCATTTGTTTCAAAACAATTATTCCTTACAAAAATCAAACATTTGTTTTACTTCCACAGACAGCGATATATCGAACCAAAATGAAGGCGAAACAAATACGGTGGTAGTAATTCAATGATACAAATGCTGTAATGCCGAAAATTTGGCATCATGAACCAAGACAAAATAAATAAGAGAAAAGATATAGAATCAATCATATACGGTTTATTCCTTCAAATGTCATAATGTTCTTGCATCAATGAACTTGGCAACTCTATAAACCTCATTTGTGTGAACGAAAAACTTAAACCTTTCGCTTGTTAGTATAAAATAGAAGAATTATAATCTGTCAAATTTGAACTTTTAAAATACACCTGCAATAAGGAAGTTCAAAATCCTAATTAATGTATTTGTTACGTAGAAAAATAAATCATGTTAGATCTAGATGAACATTATGTCACATAATATAACTTTTATCGCATGCTATTTCGATGAGATACTAAAAACATATATGTAGGCAGGGTCTTTCAAATAGAAAGACCCTGATGTAGGTGATATATATGTCATGTAAAACAGTTTGAAAATGAGTGATATATGAAATTTGTGTTCCCATTCTGTACATTGAAATATAGCGCACAATGCGAGTAGTTAGACATATACATAACGTCAAGGTAATTCCATATCAGTAACTGCATTTTTCATCATGTATACCATAAACGACTAGTTGACTAAATATTGAAAAATCTCATTTGAAAATACATGTTTTTATTCATTCCTAGCAAAATATTTTTGATATCCACTTACTCAAACAAATGTCCTCTACTAAATCTACAATTGACTTTATTTTAAAATCACCATATTCAAAAATCAGTGACTTTCTCTCACCATCAGGAGAACGTTTACACCACATTCAGATTACCTTTTTTGCAGTAAATGAAATGTAAATACTGTTCTTACAAAATATTAAAGTAACGATCAATCTGCATTTATGTAATGCAACCCCTTAACTATCCAGTCGAACGCTATTAGCGAATGGAAACATGATAGAAAATGGTAATGTGCTTTTGCATGAAATACCAGTTACTTCAAAGTTGTAGTTTATTATTTTCTTTTTTAATTTATTCATTTACCATAAATAACGCACAGGAATAGCAATAAAATGTACATAAATTTGTAGGCGTGAACACTTAAACAATAAAGCGTTAGAGTGTGTGACAGCCGATGTTTAATTGTACTTAAAATAGGCATAAAAACTTTACAAACCCCTATCAATATGCTAAATAACACCTTTCGCTATTAACACTTTTCGTTATTAACAATTTTCGGTATTAAAACATTTCGCTTTTTTTATTTTTCAGTATCCATTGAAATATACTGTGCTCAACATATGAATGAGCGGACGGCGAACCCCGCAAACTGCGCACGTTTTTACGACTGCCGCCCAGCAGTAATTCATCCAGAATTAGGTCGCCACCAGGGGGAGTGTCCGTATCCTATGTTATACTCTAAAATGACCTCAAAGTGCGAGAATTTCGAACAAGTACAGTGCCTTACAAGATACGAACCCGTAGCACCTTGTAAGTTTTCAATTCTGCAGTTAAATTAAATTTTCAAGACTTAGTGTCGAGACCGAAAATGCAACATTTGAAATTCATCCAATAAAATCCGAGAGTTTGAGTTCTTGGCATGGAGTATACGTTCTCAGTTTGTTTAATTTTTATGAAGTAAATCTTATTAAAGTACTTTCAAGCCAATTATCCCGTAGAGAAGTGTCTGCCAAAATAGTTTAAGGACCATTAAAAGAGAAGCAACAATCATGTCAATTTTTAAGCAGTAACATGGTAAAATATATGTTAATATATAACTGAAATATCATCAGTAACACTTTAGAAAAAAAAACATGCAAATATATAATTACTTTTCATTGTCTTTAAGAAAACAGAATATTTTTATTAGACAAATAGCATTGATCTTAATATAAGTGTCATCATATTAAAGCTTGGCTTTATTAGAAATATTTTAAAAGATGCGTTTGTCACATTTTAGGTGAATATGCAAGTACAATCGGCGGAAGCACCATGCAGAACTGCATGGCAACCTACTATACATGTGTCGGCCTACCTGACGGCGCAAATCCGATCCCCGGTGGCGGCATTGCTACGAAATACATAATGTGTTTATCGGACAGAGTAATGGATGTTAAATCATGTCCGAATGGGAACACGTACGATCCTATGCTGAGAATCTGCACACAGACAGCCGAACAGGGTAATTTACTTACAGAAATGATTGCCTGGCAATATGGGAAATATTTAGCTAGAGATGCTGTAGTTATCATGTAGCTTTGTAGTTGGCTTTTATATCATTCATTCATTCATTTATTCATCCATTCTTTCATTCATTCATTTATGTGCATTGGCAATTTGGCATACCAGCGAAATCACGCAAATGTAAGGTAAAGTACATTGCGAAAATTCTAAAAAAAGTTTTTGTGAATATCTTTTGAAAGTTCATAAATCTCTGCATATAAGAAATATTACCGTCTTTGTTGAAAATGCCTCTGGTGTTTTTGAAAAATTCTAAACCGTTTCATTTAGCAAATTTGGAAAATCAATGAGACTCATCACAACGTTAAGACAAACTATTTATGCAAAATTCTTTCTATGCCCTTTATAATCAGAGTAGAATAGAACAAGGTATTCACAAAAACTGGCCCAGAATTGTTTTAGAATTTTCCACCACTGCTTCCGTGAAAAAGACTTTGTCCTGCTTTGAATTTAGAACTGTCCATTTAACATTCATGGGATTTCAACTACAAAATTACTAAAATTGAAAAGCTCTAATCTATGGTGGCATATATCTGCCACCAGATAACCTGATAATTAACTAGTTAATTAAGAGGTTAACTAGTTACGTAACTAGTTAACCTCTTAATTAACTAGTTAGTTATCAGGTTAACTAGTTACGTAACTAGTTAATTTTTTCAATAAAGAAAAAATCATTACGGGAAATAAATGCATGTTTGTGCCCGCAACTGCCATCCCTTATTGTCAGCTAAATATTAAGAGGTTAACTAGTTACGTAACTAGTAAACCTGATAATTAACTAGTTAATTAATGGGTTAACTAGTTACATAAATACTTAACTAGTTAACCTCTTAATTAACTAGTTAATTATCAGGTTAACTAGTTACGCAAATACCTAACTAGTTAACCTGATAATTAACTAGTTAATTAAGAGGTTAACTAGTTACTTAACTACTTAACCTCTTAATTAGGTATTCCAAATATTATGCAGTATCTATTTATAGATAAGTGATAACGGGTAAAGTAGTTACGTAACTAGTTAACCTGATAAATTACTAGTTAATTAAGAGGTTAACTAGTTACGTAAAAACGTAACTAGTTAACCTCTTAATTAACTAGTTATTTATCAGGTTAACTAGTTAGGTATTTACGTAACTAGTTAACCTCTTAATTAACTAGTTTGGTATCAGGTTATCTGGTGGCAGAAATATGCCACCATACTAATCAGACATCATAAATATGCTTCCTGGCTTAGCTTAGTACTGGCGGCATGTGCTTAGAAAAATAAAAAGAACCAAATGTCCGCATTAAAACATCATTTGTATATAATCATACTTAATTTATTAATCATTACATATTATAATCAGTAGTTATCTTATCTATAGCATGGTTTTCAAACTAGATTGTCCTTGCCGACTTATGTTTCTTTGATGTTTGGTTCCTGATATAACGGAAAGTCCAAATATTTCAAACTAGAAATGCATTAGCTATTTTAATCAACTACACCATTTAAAAGGACTATCACCTTAATATACAATGTATTTAGCTCTTTAATTAAAAAGAACTTAAGTACCTCCTTTCTGGCAATGAAATGCATTGATTTCGTGCTCTATAAATGTGCATATTCAGTCAAAATATTTCTGTCTAAATGGTACAAAGCTTTATTTTGATTGAATAGTGAATATATATAGAAAATCATACAAAGTCTCTGAAAATTATGATTATATGTTTTTTGTTTAGCTTAAAAGAGCAACCGAATTTTTGGTTAGTTCATTTCTGTTTTCTTCAATAATAACTGTGTGTTAAATAACAGAGACTTTTCTTGTTTTAGATTCCTCTACTAATATGAAAATGTTATTGTACAGTTAATTAGTTTTATAAAAAGAATTACCAGACATAGCATCATACACCCTAAAGTAGACAGGGTTGAAAAGTCACGTGATATATTTGGAATCGGTCCTAATATTATAGAAAAAAAGTTTAACATTATTTCTTTTTACTCAGGTAAAATTACTTATCTTGATAATGAAATAATTCTTAGAGAAGAAAGTACAAGAGAGTCATATTTAAGCCCTCGTCTTAATTTTTAAAAAACAAAAATCAGATCAAATCGTTAACTTATCGAAGAATTTTTTATGTGTGTACAGTTTCACCTAATCACGTGGGTTGCTCATCTCTGAAAATTTTTCTTCAACAACATATGTCTTAAATGTTTTGGACTTTGATTTGTTTTGTTATTGTCGTTAATGCCACTTGACAGATAAATGTTTTAACTTTCATGAAAGATAAATTGTACAAAAAGCAACAAACACAATGTTTTCAACCATTTTCATTCTTCTTCTTGTTCTATTTTACTGAAGAAATTAAGACTTTTAATACTTGATTTTTATTTCTTTACCATTCTAAATAATAGAAATAATATGTATCATGTATTTTATATTTTAAATATTTATGTAATCAGTATATCGCAATTAAAGGAAATAAAACAAATTGTTGAAAAAGAACATTGTGTTTGTTGCTTTCATATATCTAATGTTCTAGAAACGTCATGCATTCAATCGTTATATGAAGTTGTAATATAAGTAAACTAGTCTCAATAGTTCCAAAGAAAAAAAATGGAGTAGAGAGACTGACAGCATTAAAAAGTCAAAACAAGTTTGAACATTTTAAGAAATCTTTTAAAACAAATTTCCATATTGAACAGGAACTTCACTTTTTGGGGGCATAACATAACAATACATGTACTAAATAATGGCCCCATGTTAAGCATCAACCAGAAGATTAATATCAATATTTGGATTAATTCTTAAAAGACATTCAATAAAATATTTATGAAAATTATCATTTTATGTATTTTAAGTATATTTATTGTTCACATTCAATATCAAACATTAGAACTAAAAATTCATAGAGATATTTTTAAAAATTTGACTTATGATACTGACCTTGATCCTAAGTGAACAAACCACAAGGAATAATACTGTCCTTTAAGTATATTGTTCACATTTAATATCAAACCTATGAAAATAAAAAAAAATCATATAGATACATGTTTTGAAAATTTGACTTGTGATACTGACATTGATTCTAATTATTGATCAATTGTGAACAAAAGTGCTGTAGAGATGCATTCCTTGATTAACGGAGAAACATGTGTACTAAGGAGTGAAAAAGATATTTAATAGTGATATATAGATCAACTTGTAGTTTATATCTCACACCTTATAAAAATATAACCAATACCCCTTTAGCGTTTGCACCACGTGGTTTACATTTCCAGATTCCAAAACATTATCAGATCCATATCACACCATATATGGCCTCGTTTACATTTTAGACTCCAAAATGTCTTCATCTCTTCATCAAATGCATATCGTACTTTATCTAGCCTCGTTTTCATTTTTGATTGTCCAAAAATCCCTATAAAATTCTTATTGTAATCGTAGTAACAAAGTTTTGACAAAATGTCAGAAAAGGTGGTGTGAAATAAAGATGTCAATACATATCCAATACTACTGGACTCGTACACACCTTCAAAACGGTTAGAGCCTCGTCCAATATAGTTCTGACAGCAGCTGTATACTCGTCCAATAGAATTTAGTATTGTACTATACCCATCAATGCTTAATAACCTCATAGTATCTAATACAAAGTTAAAACTGAGGAAGCATCGTTTAGTGTACGAATTAAGTTTGATAAAGTGTTCAGTATTGTATTATAAACATAGATTTTACCATTTGCGCGCCTTCAGATTCGGCGCCTTCAGATTCGGACGACTTTTCTTATCAAGATTGAATATAAAAATATTGTAAACAGTAAAAATTATGTCAAGTGTACAAACACAATGATTAAAGCTCAGCTATATAACCATAACACACTTTCTATCCCAAGACATTACTTATGATATGTCAAATATGCTGAAAGAGCCCTTACTCCGCAAGTAACGTTGTAGAAAAAAACCTGTTGATAAAGAAGTAAGTGGTGTTATATTTTGCATTAAACATGCTATAAGTGTGACTTAAGTAGTGTTTTATACATATCATATCTTAGATCATATTTTCTTCAAAATTTCTTCAATATTTAGAGAGAAAAAATGTTGACTCACCAAGATGCATGACAGCTCTAATATGTTTGAGTATTGTTCTTTTTTGTAAATTGAACTAATACACTGAAGATGCCTAAAAATGATATAAGAATATTTTTGTAATATTCATTAGAATTCTTACTTTGTTTGTTATAAAGAGCAAAAACTCCATGTTCCTTCTGTTGTGCGTACAAGTAGAAAAGAGAGAGATATTTCAAATAAGAATCATATTCCAATATTATTAACTATATGCCCACTCAGAAGTTACTTAACGATATTTTAGGCGAGCAGATCATGGTAAATTCATATCATATTCTCATTGGTCACATTTTCTGATAATACGAAAATATATTAAGATATAAAAGTAACATTTAAAAAAAAAGGGTAACAGGATCGGAAATATAAGTCGCAATCTGCGTTCCCGTACCCCAGTTCCTATGGTACTACGTACATGTACTCAAAACATACAGTGTATAATTCAGTGTTCAATTTCCATAATTTACCCAAGTGAAATACAATAAACCAAACTTTACTAAACTGTACTTGACTGTGCTTATGTCCGTCCCTGTAGATTTCGTTCAGGGCGGATTTACAATAAGCACAAACAGTACTTGACAAAGGTTTGCAAGCAAAAACAAACGTCTATATAACAGTTTAGCTGGTATCCAAGTAAATATAAAGTATAATTACTTGAACTACCTTTGTATTATTGTATAACCCTGTCAAAGCCCACATTCGTCACATTTCTTAATTGTCAATGATTTCATTGATTTGCAGGATTGATTGCCCGCCAGTGCCAACAAAATCCTAATGCTATAATTCCGGATCCAGACAACTGCGCACGCTACTTCAACTGCAGCCAAATGTTTACACAGCCAAGTCTCGTGAAATATCAGGCGGAGTGTGATTATCCGTTACTTTTCAACTCACAAACATTGATGTGTGACGACTTCGAAATGGTGAATTGTGGGACAAGAATGGAACCTAAAGCACCATGTAAGTTATCACGAACGCTAAGCCAAAATTGTGACGTGCATTTTTTTTCTTTGGATAAAGCTAAATTTACTGTATATTTAAAGCACTCTAGCTTTTTTATTAAGAGCAGGTGTAACTGTCGTGGTCAGAATGAGTTAGAAATTCATAACTATAAAGGTACAAAGAAAATCCATTAAAGTACGTTTTGTATTCTGTAACTTTTTCTTTTTAATAATATTTAATAGCTCTTTTTAACCTCTTGCACATGCTTTTAAGATTTCACTTAAGATCTTATTTTGCCAAATGTACATGTTTTATAAAACTCTAAATCTGTACTAAATTTTGTATACTTTGCATCAAAATTTGACTCAATGATATATTCAAGGTGATTACCTTTCAACAACTACCAAGTGTGAAGGTCCACTATGCGCGTTGCCGTGTCTTGAGCGTTCTCCAAGTTGCGTCGGTATGCTAAATGGCAACAATACATACCCGGGGCGAGATTTATCTCCCTTTTATATGACATGCCTAGGGGAGAGAACTCAAACAGTAGGAATTTGCAGATTTGGAGTGTATGACCCTACTTTAAGAGCTTGCACCACGGAGTTGGATCCAGGTAATTTATAAATAAATATCTTATATTTCATCTTAAGCCAGTCATTTGAAAGAGGAACCGGAAACTGCTGTAAGTTAACAAGGCTCAAGCTTCAGCTTAAGCCAGTCTTAATTAATTGTGGAATTAGATGTCTAAAATGGAAGGCCTGCGTTAAGGGAATGTCACACTTATTTGATGAATTTTACTTACATATTTGATATAGCAAAAACATAAAAGAATATGAAAACAATGTTTTTGCTTCGTTTTGCATTTCTTGTATGTTGCTGATGTTTTTGTTTTCAAAATACATCACGTCATAATTGTAAATGTACAAAAACATGTATGTTGTTTATATATCATGATTTATAACTTTGTCATAAATTTCAGACTCAAAAAAAAGAAAGAAAAAAAGAAAGAAAATCACGCGCGTAGTCATTTTTTGGCAGACGAAAATATAATTGTCTTTAACCACCATTGGTCAGTTACAAAAAAACAATCATAAATTAATTAATATTAAAAATTTAGGAGAAGGGTCTTGAGTAATTTTGTGTGATATTTATTACCTTCTTTACTTAATAACAAATGTTCTTGTTCCAGTTTCAATCCAAGACTTTTGCACGAAGAACCCATCAGGGATCATTCCACACTACACCAATTGCGCTCGTTACTATAACTGTAGCACCGCCGCACTGACACCTGGCGGTAACAGCTACCTTCAGGAATGTTTGTATCCTCAACTCTTCAATCTGGACGCTCTGACCTGTGACCCCTACCAGACCGTCCAATGTACTTTCAGATTTGAGCCGAAAGGACCATGTATGTATATTTTCATCATATTTCATATCTTTAGTACAATTTTACTATAAAATGTTTATGTTCATAAACATCTTTTAAAAATAATTAGATCTTTCATTAGTAGACAGATAAGCGTCGGGGTTGTTTTTTTTTTGTTGAAATTTTAATGACAAGCTTAGATGACAGTTATAAGTATAGTGAATGTATATGAAAAAAATAAGTATGCTTTGCTTCATATAAAAAAGAGACAGCTAGTTGATGTAAAATCTACTCTTGATTTATTTTGTCATGCTGCGTATAGTTTGATATTAACTGCACATTTCCTAATATTAAATCATAATCAATCTAAATTGAACTTTTACGCGTAAAACTGACTAAGAACTTTCCTTCATTTCAGGTGAATATTTACAGAATCAAGTCTGCCAAGACGGGTCAAACAATTGTCTCCCCTGTGAACAAAGAATTCCAAGCTGCAATGGTCTAGAGAACGGCAACGAATCTTTCGTTGGTCGTGATAATTTCTACATTGTATGTCAAGATGAGAGGACACTGTTTGTCAGGGAATGTATCGGTGGAAAGTTTGATCCTCTGAGTCGTACTTGCAAGGCTCCACCGCCGGGTCCAGAATTTGACATAAGTAAGACATTGTATGCCTATTTCTATTCTTTATTGAAGTATTGAATTGTGAGATGCCCACTACTTCACCTTAAAGACTTATGCTGTTATCATATTCTAAGATCATGTAAAGTTCAAACAAATTAATTTTGTTCTATATGTCTGTCTATATGTAACCCTAGCATACGCCTTTAAAATGTCAAAGGGGGTTCATTTTTTATTCTTTCAAGTCTGATTAAAATACCTTTTGACATTGAGTAATAGCAATATTCGTTAATAATTAACATTGACCATACAAAATAAAAAATAATAACAACAATAAATGTATATTACTGTCCTATAGTTTAATATATTACATATTGAAAGGCACAGTAGGCCTCGTCGTCAGTTACCCGCGGTATATACCGTACTCCGTATGTACGGAATATATAATACCGTGGGTAACTGTCGATAGTCTTGGGTAACTGACGAAAGGTTGTCCTCTGCAACTGTGGCAACATTTAGAAAAAGAAAAAAACTTAAAATGTTAACAAATAAAGTAAGTCAAATTCACAAGTGCATTGATGTATATGTAATTGTTTATATCAAATCTCAAGTTCTCTCTATTTAGACAATCCTCTGCGATACTGCACAGCTATCCGACAGACATTGTGCCAGCCCCCTATCATGTGCCCAGTATGTCGACTGTGCCGCCCAACTCACCGGTCTTGGAAACTACAAGAAAGAGTGCCCGTATCCACAACTGTTTGATGAAAACTTAAAGAGCTGTTTACCGTATAATGTGGTGAACTGTTTAAGTCGATTTGAGCCCATCGATCCATGTAAGTTTATACTATAACACATTTTTGTTAGCAATCTTTTGAAGCAATGTATCTTTAAAATACAGAAGACATTGCTCCAGAAACCAAAGATAAAAGGTTAATTTGTACGACGATATTGATTGGGTCGAAATTGATAGTTAAGATATAAAGTTATATTTTCTACAATTTATAAGTTTTTTTTGTATATAATAAAGATTTAAAATTTATAACATTGAAGGTTTTTTTTAAGTATAACAACTCTAATGGGGAATTTCAGTGGGGGAACGAAACAAGCGATGAACATTGTTTTTCGAGGCCATTTTGCAATACAAACTTGTTACTTAAAGTTGGAATTTAAATTTAAATTCAAATTTTAAATTGAAAAAAAAAATGATTTCAATAAGTAATTTTAAAACATTTGTGTTGTGTGAAAAATTATAAGATATTTTACCGACAAACAAACTCCTCTCTTCGTTATTTTTTATGAATAAGTTTCGAATGGCCGGGAAAAAACAATTAAACAATAAAGGCAAAAAAGCGACAAAAAAATATTTCGAAGCGTTCATGGTGTATTTTTAATTAAAAGTATCATTTACGTAAAAGAAAAGACATTTTAAATCTTAACATTTCAGATCAAAATTGATGAAATAATATTTATATATACATGTATATATATATATATATATATATATATATATATTTCAGGTGAATATGAAGCTAATCTCCGATGTCCGGACGTCGGTGCTTGTCTCCCGTGCCGCGACCGGTACGTCAGCTGTAAAGGCAACATGAACGGAAATTTCAGCATCCCAGGACGCCCTTCAGAATATAAAATATGTTTGGACGAACGAACCATTGAGGTCAGAAAGTGCGCCGGAAACGGCATATATGATCAGACGCTTGGAGGATGTCAGATTTCTTTTGACCCAGGTTTTTATCTAATATCACACTTAATATTTAGTTCTAAATTTGAAAGCCAAAGAAGCTGAGGGAAGCTGAGGAAGACAGCAAATATTTATAAGGTCTTTAAAACTGAATTGTGACTTCATATCTATACAGAACACATAGTTCAATATTTTCTTTTGCTAAATATTTTAATTGCTCGTTTATTACTCTATCATGTGTAGAAAATGAATATTTTTCTTATTCTAAGACTTTAGCTCTGATAATATTTTTGGATCTTCATGTAATGCAAGAAAAAGTGAATTGATGGCGTCTTGTAAACAAAATACACGGAAAGTAAATAAACGTCAAACACCCATGTCCAAAACCGATATATGTACTTCCTTCATTGCTTAAGATATATTGTTCTTATCTTAGAAAAATAAAAATGAATATTTCTATTACAGCTGACCCAGCTCCGTATTGCTCCGTGTATCCAAATGCATTGATTGGCAATCCAGCGAATTGCGCTCAATTTTACGACTGCCGTCAACAGAATACGATGTTCGGAAACTACCTTCGGGAATGTCCGTATTTACAGCTGTATTCGGAATCTGATAAAACATGTCACGCATTTGAGAGAGTAATTTGTGGCCTAAGACCTGAACCTAAAGCCCCATGTAAGTATGACAGTCATTATGACACTGTGACATAAAAGAATATGTCAATCGTTTTCTATGTTTTACGTTAAGAATTTTCTGTCCCCAAGAAACTAAAATAACTGTCAAGCTTAAGATAGATGTTCACTTAAATGGCGATTTTCAACAAAATACATGTACACAATTTCTAAGATATATGTGCATTGCTTTCATTTATAGCTTTCTTACATGTGGTTGTAATTTCAAACAGATATCCATTTGTTATGTCTTATATGTCATCAGATCACGTGACAAATGAGCTCAAACCACGTGACACAATATTTCTGGTTTCCAGGTGAATATCTTCAAAATCAGCAATGTTACGATCCAAATGGATGCGCTCCATGTGAAGTTTCGAAGCCAAGCTGTAAGGGTCTACCAGATGGTAACAACACATTCCCCGGCAGAGGAAAGGAGTTCATTGTTTGTGCATCCGAAAGAACTATTGGCATGGAGATTTGTGAATTCGACTATGATCCGAATCAACGCAGATGTGGCCAAGACATGAGTACGTTTATAAGCATGTTCTTTTCAAGTTTTCAAAAAAAATCAGTTGTATTACACAGTTCAAAGTTAAACATATATTGCACTGTATGGTTGCTAAAAACCGTTTATATTTAATTCCTTTTCTAAGTTTCAATAGATCACATCATTTTGCACGCGCTGGTGATCAGATTGCTGCAGTGATGACAAATGAAATTTGTCCTTATTTGCGTAATGTGAATATAGCAACAAAGTTTTTTTTTAGATTTCTGTCATCATTGCTGCATTCCGTTATCACTGGAGGCAACTTTAATTTGGTGAAATTCCAACATGATTAAATTTACATCCAGCTGTACTTAAAGATTGTTAGGTTGAAAATAATCTTCTTTTTTCATATTTAAAAAATAGCTAAACATTATCATTTGCATACACGTATTTACAGCAAATCCAATGATATTTTGCTCCGTACTACCAACTGATAAGTTAATACACCCAACTCGGTGCGGACAGTTCTATGATTGTTCGAGACCCAACAGCCGGTTTGGTGAGATGTACCTACAAGAGTGCCCCTACCCAGCTTTATATGAGCCTCGTTTGAAAGCATGCTTAGATTTCACTGAGGTTACGTGTGGAAACCGAGTCGAGCCAATATCACCATGTAAGTATATATATTTGTATTTTCATTTCTACTTGCTTTCCTTGTTTGTTTAATAATTTACTTTTTGTATTAAATTACATACTGACAGATGATTTTAAAATCAAATCTAAGTAATTACATGTATAAGTCAATTGAAATATAGCTAAATCATCATATAAAAATAGCTCGAGCACTTTTAAATATCTTAAAATGGCCAGTAAATCTATAATTATTCATTCAAAAATATATACGAACAATTACTATTTAAGTACCGCAGAATTTCTTCATACTTCAGAGACTGGGTGTTATCGCATTAATAAAGTTTCCATAACTCCAGAAATGGGGACATAAAACTAACTTATGGCACGTATAACAAAGGGCATCTTGCTATAACATTGATGACTTTTTCACAGGTGATTACATGTCTAACGGTTGTCAAGGGCGTGGTCAAGCCTGTCTACCATGTTCAGAAAGGTTTGTGTCTTGTGTTGGCCGACCAGACGGAAACAATAGTTACCCTGGTCAGGATATGACTAGGCGATATGTCGTCTGCCAGACCGGAAGAACAGTCGGCGATGGTGTGTGCAGCTCGGGATATTTTGACCCAGTTAGACGTATTTGTGCAACTAGGTTAGATTCAGGTGAGATGTTATTATATTCCTCTTGTAAATTGTGTCGTAAAAATACAGATGGACCTGCGCCACAAAACCGCCAAAAGCAAAAAACAACAACAACATTAAGTGTTACAAATATAGGTAATAAGATAGCAGGAGTGAAAAGATTAATAATATCTGTCATATTTTGCGGTTCGGATCGGAATATCCGTCCCGAGGTGACCCGCCCATTGGGCGGTAACGAGGCTTGCCGAGTTACCGCCCATGGGCGGGTGACCGAGGGACGGATATTCCGATCCGAACCGCAAACATATGTCAGATATTTTTTCTTGCATATTCTACCATATTCCATTATATTTTAAATTCTTTATCTTTATTTTCAATGAAAATTTATATCATTACAACCGTAACTACTTTCATTCAACAGCGTATGAATTACAAAATCATTCATAACGGTAAAATGGCGTCATCTTTATCGTGCCATTGTACAGCACGCGACTTATCTGGAACCCCCCATGCCAGATGAAATTTCCGGCATGGGTAAAACTAACGGAAACGCCAGTCTGATATGCAAGAAAGAGGCATTGTTAAAGCAGCACATCTACAGATTTCTGCTAATTTTCATGAAAATTTTGAAAACGTGTTAAAAAGTAAAATATTGTAAAGTGAGCAAAGACAATAAATTTTCATTTTGCAAACGGCACTCACAACTCATGTAAATTATATAAAAAGAAGTAAAGATACGCAAAAATATCCCTTTCTGTGTAAGTAACGCAGTAGAAGTTATTACTTTTCTCTTGAATATTTTTACTTGTCTTAAAATCTTAGTTCATTTTTCTCAAGTTGAATTTTCTTGAAATATTTTGGCTCATCTGAAGGCATGCAACTTTAAGCCAAATTCATGTACTTCTGCCTACGACATTCTTTAATCAGATTCAGAATCAAACAACACCACATTAACTCAGAGAGTTTGTAAGGAGCAAGACAATGTCGGGTACACCAATGATACGTTCGAAAAAATTACATCATGATTATGTTACTTGTATTTCAGTTTCAATCCAGCTCTTCTGTCAGCAGAACCCGGATGTTATTCTAGCAAACCCTCTCAATTGTGCGCAGTATTTTGACTGTACCCCTGCCAGCGTCACTGAAGGAACCTTCTTAAGAGAGTGCCCGTATCCGATGTTGTTTTCACAGGAGACTTTAGTGTGTCAAGAATTTACCAACGTAACATGCGGTCTTCGAATGGAACCCATGAAGCCTTGTAAGTGAACGTTGTTGACGGATGTAATTTGGTAACATTTTAGATATTTACATGTTTGTGCTTAAAGACAAAAGGCAAAAAATAGTCCTTTGCATATTAAGTCGTATATATCTCATGTTTGTGCTTAAAGACAAAAGGCAAAAAATAGTCCTTTGCATATTAAGTCGTATGTATCTCATGTTTGTGCTTAAAGACAAAAGGCAAAAAATAGTCCTTTGTATATTAAGTCGTATTTATCTCATGTTGTGCTTAAAGACAAATGGCAAAAAATAGTCCTTTGCATATTAAGTCTTATATATCTAGGTTTTAGTTCTATGTGTCTGTCGGTGCAATACTTAGAGTAAAGCAAGGACCGTCTATCAGTGTGATACAGCAGCTTTTTTACATGTTAGAGGGCATTACATTCCGAAATCAAAACTAATGTTTTGAGAACAAGTTCTTGGACAGCAAATATAATTATATGGTCTTCTGCTGACCTTTGCTCTTTTTATTCTTTTACAAAAAATACATTTATAGGTCAATATCTTCAAAATATCTGTGATCCAAGACAGCCTGGTTGTACACCCTGTAATCAGAAATTCCCCAGTTGCAGTGGTCTTCCGGACGGAAATAATGCCTACCCTGGCCGGGAAATGACCGAAGACTACATTCAGTGTAGACAAGGACGTACTGTCGGCACCCGGAAGTGCGCTGTAGGAGTTTTCTTCCCTAACAGGAGAGAATGTAACGTTGTTCTTAACGAGCGTATGTATTATTTCGTCCTATCTCTGTTTCAAGTTGTTTTAATTCTTCCGATGGAAATGAATGCTTTTTTTAAGAAATGCAAATATCATCCACTTAATTCTTTTAATTAAATGAAGTGATTATTTTGAAAGATTGTAGTTTTTATTCAATACGCTCTCAGTCCGTATTCTTTATATAAATGATAATAGTTCATAAATAGTTATTATATATATTCGATATGTTTCTTTACGTTGGTATATCCAAAGGGATTGGTAATATTTTATAAGAATACAAGAAGTACAAATTTATAACCCTAAAAAATATTACAAGTTCCCTGGGTTAAATCATATAAAATATTTTGTATAATCACTTCTTAACCCTTAACATGCTTTAAACGAAAGTGTGATTAGCATTTGTCAACGGTATAAAAACCAACCGTCCGTGCAGTTACCAGGACCAATACTGTTGGCCAAGGAACTTATTTTTATCTTGATATCATCAACAATTTATCGATAATGAACAGTTCCGAACAATGGAAGATTTACACGTCCATTTAAGAAATTCAGCAGGTCAGGTGACGTTTGTTATCATGATAATAAAATATAAATGAATCTTTTTTTGCAGAGATGGCCTCACAATATTGTCGTGCAAACCCAACAGAAATTTTACCGCATCAGTCCAATTGCGCACAGTACTATGACTGCCGACAAGCCGTCGGCGGAAGTTATCTTAGAGAATGTCGGTATCCTCAGCTGTTCCTTGAAGCCAACCAAACATGTAGGAACTTCTCCGACGTCGATTGTGGTACCCGACGAGAGCCTCAAGCCCCATGTAAGATATTATTATGTAGAAGCTTTATTTAAAAAAAATGAAATGATAAAGAATAAGCCGTGATTTATTCCTTGAGTCTAAAGTTTCAAAAGTTTGTTTTACCTTTGTCACGTGTATAAAAATAGAATACCAATAAAAAAAATCAGGTTTACGTGTATCTTCAGAATTAAACCAGTTTTACATGAAAAAGTAGATGAGCATTAAGAATCGAGACAAAGTTTGTGCCTAGTTTTCTATATATTACTATAACCTATTTGTATTGTAAAAATTGTAAACATTCTTCATAAAATGAAATGAATTATTCTAATGTTACAGGCGAATATTTACAAACTCAGTGTCTTCAGAACGCTGTCAACTGTACACCATGTCCCGAGCGTCTACCGAGTTGTATTGGACTTCCGGACGGCAATAACCCGTTCCCCACCCGTCCAAGCTCTCAATATTACGTCAAGTGTTTCCAGAACAGAACAGTCGCTGTTGAGGTCTGCCAAGTGTCACTGTTTGATCCACTTACCAGAGAATGTTCCAATGTCATTGATGCAAGTAAGGATAGTTTGTAATCTATTATTTCTTAGCCACAATTACGAGAAACTTTATTTCTGGCGATATCAAAACATTGTAGCATGTTATTGAACAATCATTTATGAATAGAATATCTACGGCTTTAAGTTAGTAAAAATAAAAAAAATAACGTGGTTCTTGCAAAATATCAAGTTGAAAACGTATTTACGAGATTATCAAAATCATCGATGGCTGTTTACATTCTTTGAAACTACGTTAGTAAATTAATTACTTGTACCAATAGATGTTGATACTTTTTTCTAAATCTTTGTAGAAGTATCATTTCTCTTAAGTTATAGCATGATATATTTTATTCAATTTAAGATGTACTAAGTGGCTTCTGTCAAGAAAACCCGTCAGTATTGATCCCTGATCCATTACACTGTGCCCGCTACTACAACTGCAGTGATATGGGGGTCCAGACTGGTCTTGGAATACCCCACTTACAGGTAACAACTTCCACTATTTGTCATTATAAAATTCTTGCAAGACCATTCATCCTTGCTTTTATGTAAGTGTATATTTACAAATATCTAATATGGGTGAGGCATGAATTCTAAGTGACATTGTTTTCGGACATTGAGACTAACAGTTATTTGTCTTTCATCGCTGAATCAGATATCATATGGGATAGTAGTCAGTCATTTCCGCAGGAACGTACTTGATTTTTATACGTTATCAAGGAAAGCTGGCTAGGTAGATTGACTGTCGAGATATGACCAAAATGCGTTACAATCGGCCTAAAAATAAAACCAGGAAAACAAATCAACAAACACTTCTACTTTGACTTCTTCTACTTGTTTAGATTGGAATCTCTCCATTGCATTTTGTTTTCTTTTTAACTGCAAATATCAAGTTAATTGTGCTGTTACGATTCATGACTGAAAGAAAAGATTTATCTTTATTTGTACGAGAAACATTTCAAATTATGTCCTTTCTCTAAATAAACCAAATGTAAAATGTAAAAATTGTTTTAGATAATCATGTTTGCTTCTTTGCCGTCATATTGGTTTATATCTTTATTATCCAGGAATGTAAATATCCTCGACTCTTTGGGTATGGAGCTACCAGTTGTCAACTATTCACAGAAATTCAGTGTGATAAACGCTATGAACCAAAAGCACCCTGTAAGTAACAAGTATATTGATGGATATCGACGACATCCTATTACTATAAGAACTAATGCAAATTTTATCTATTTGTATTTCTATTTGATAAATAAGATATTTTGCATAAAAACTATTCCTTTAAGAAAGACAAGAGAACAAATTAATTTCTTTATAAAATATGATTTCATACTGAATTGAAAAGTTCCATGTCATTGTTTTTAAAGTACTGGATTTACCAATAAATGGATGTTTCCACTTCTGAATTCCAGGCGAGTATGTAGAAAACCAATGTTTCAACGCCACCTGTGAACCTTGCGAGCAGAATTACCCAAGCTGTGTCGCAAAACAAGATGGCAGCAACATATTTCCGGGAAGGGAGGGAACTGAGTACTATATCGTCTGTTACAAAGATAGAACAGTTGCTATCGTCACGTGTACGACCGGATATTACAACCACGCAACACGGTCATGTGAAGCTATCAACCCGAACACCGGAGCGATTGGTGGCTCTGGAAGTGTTATTTAGTCATGTGGCCATATAAAAAAAGTCTTAGCACTTTCTTTAAATAACTTACGAGACATTTGTAAAACCTATTTATATATTTTTATATATTTTGAAATATGTGTATTAGTTTATAATGAACCAACGTTAAAATGAGAACGGGTTACCTTGTCGGACCGCATGCTTTATTGGTGTGTAGGTACTTTAATGATATTTCCAGAAAAAAAAACTGCATACTACTTTGCGTCATTTATGGATATTTGCAGCATGAATTTGTTTTATCCAATTTCTTAAGTGGAGGTAGTAACAAAACAATTGTGGGTAACTACTGTAACACCATGCTTGTAGTATTAGGTTATGCAGAAGCCAATTTTAATGATCAACTACACTTTTGATTAAATATATCGTTAAATTTGGGTATGTTCATAGATATGGGCGTAAATGATGTATTTTTATCATTTGAAATGATGCAAATGCGATACTATATAAAAGATCATTGATAAATTGTTATTTCGAGTTATATGCCTTCCAAAGACCTTTATTTCTGGAAATCTTTAAACAAATTAGTATATATTTTTTCATGATGTCTCGTTTCATTTTGTCATTGACCATTGACTGATTGAAGCTTTTGAATAGCAAAAAGCATTAGTGTATACTGTTATTTTGAAAGAAATTTGCTTTATTAAAATCAACGTTGAAACGTGTTCTGCTGCTTGAAAAAAAAATTCTGCTTATCAGGCTGAAATACCTATTCACTCAAAAAAATATAATTATGTTAGTAAGCTTTTGTATATGGCATTTTAAATTGAATGTTAGAATTCTCTATGAAGTAATTACATGTATTTTTAATCACATATTATGACAGAAAATTGAATTTGTCTTTAAATAAAATCAATTCTAAGTTTAATGTAATTCTTTACAAGACCGCAAATACCATATTCTATACTTGAATGCGTATATTGCAAACATCCAGGCAATGGTTCATTCGAGCGTTACAATCGACCATTACCTGGATATGACGTAATAATACTTTTAAAGGTACATATATATTGATTTAGATACATAAATATTGAAACATTTTAACTCTTTCTTTCAAGGAGTGTGCTTTCTTCCTATCGCCCATTAAGTGTTTACGTATCATCTAAACTGATAAAAGCATGACCAGTTTGAGCATAATTTTATATACCTCCGTATTTTGTGTGGATATGTCAGGTATTGAATGAATAAAATAGTATTGTCTATACTTCAGTGTTATTTTATCTATAACACAACATGAAACCAAAGTTAGAAAACTTGCTAAGACATCTGACCGAAAGGTAAGCTCACTACCAAGATTGGCATTTATACAACAGTTGCGTATTTGTAATAGAACAAAATGATACCTGTTATGAAAATGGGATTTGTTGTTGTTGTGAAAAAAACACGCCTTTAAGAGCACGATCCTTACCATGAATTTTCTACCGTCATGCACCATCTTTAGCCAAATTAAAAAGAATGCTACCACGTAAGAAAGAAAACCAAAATTTGAAGTTGATAAACCCACTTAAATTTTTAATCGAAAAAGGTTCTTCTTTACAGCCTAATATTATTTCCAAGAAAACCCTAACCCCCAAGCAAAATTCCGAGAGATTTCCCGCCGTGGCATGTTTCGTTTTTTGTTTTTGTTTTTTTGTTTTGTTTTGTTTTTATTGGCGGAGGGGGGGAGATGAACGGCGATTTCTTCTTTCATAATATCAAATGTATATATTTTCGTTAAAAACACCATTTTCTTATTACATTGCATATTCGTTCTTATATTGGTTTGGAGGGTCTTCTATGCACTTGTATAAGACACAGAGCCATAACCTAAGCTAAATGTGTGAGATATTTCCGCGTAGCATTGTCATTGTTTTGGACAGGCGAGTTGTTTTTTCTGTTCATTAGTTATTGTTAAAAGCACCATTTTTTCGAGCACCATTTAACTGATTCTTTTGCAGATTCAATTTTGTACAAGTTTGGATGGTTTTCCTTACATAATATAAGAGCCAAAAGCCCAAACCCAAGAAAAATGTCCAGCAGATTTCGCATGCCATGGTCGTTTTCTGGGTCGATGATTTATGAAGTGTACATCTTTCCCCCAAAAAAGTACCATTTTCTCGAGCAAATTGTTTAAACACAAGTTATCTGATTTTCTCAAGCCGATCGTTTGAACAACAGTTGTCTGATTCCTTTACAGATTCGATTTGATTGTGTACAAGTTTGGAGGGTCTTCCTTACATAATATAAGTCCCAAAGGCTTAACCCAATAAATTTGTCAAGGATATTTCCGCAGGGCATGGTCGTTTTCTAGACCGATGATTTGTTCTTTCTGTATATAAAATGTATAAAGTTTAAAAAAAGTAGCATTTTTCGAACCAATCGTTTAAACACCAGATGTCAGATTCCTATTCAGATTCAATTTTGAACAAGTTTGGAGGATCTTTCTCACATAATAGAAGGCCCAAAGCCCTAACACAAGAAATATTGCTAGGAGATTTCCGCATGGCATGGTCTTTTTCTGGACCGACGATTTGTTCTTTCTGTATAAAAAATGTATAAATTTTCAAAAAAAGTACAATATTCTTGAACCAAACGTTTACACACCATTTGTCTGATTTCTATGCAGATTCAATTTTGTACAAGTTTGGAGGGTCTTCTTTACATAATATAAGGCCCGAAGCCCTAACCTAAGAAAAATGAGATTTCCGCATGGCATAGTCGTTTTCTAGACATAGAATATGTTCTTTCTGTATATGTAAAGTGTATAAATTTTCAAAAAGAGTACCATTTTCTCGAGCCAATAGTTTAAACACCATTTGTTTGATTCCTTTGCAGATTCGATTTTATACAATAGACAGGACTGAGTTTGAGAATTTGGCTCCCTATAAGATGCTAGAGGCATTTTTAGTACAAGTGGTATCTTGGTGTATTTTACCTATTTAAGGTATGCTGAATCCGATAAAGGTGGATACCAGATTGAAAAACTTGATCTTGACCATTGAAATGGCCATTTAAAATGACCACTAAAATGGCCGCCAAATTTCTTTATTCATAAATGGATGATAGATCAAATAAAACTTTTAAAGAAAGGAAAAGCCTGAAATTTGTCACAAAGCATGTTTAGGTAAAAACTAATTAGACACTAAAACAGAATTAAAAAAAAAAACAATCCAATAGGGCCGAAAAATCCAAGATGGCAGACATTTTTCTATAGGCAAATATAATAGTAATATAAAAGTAATATTAAAGATAGTACTATACTACTCTTTCCTGCCCTATCTGCTTTCATATATTTTATCTGGTACTTTATGCAAGCATATAGAGTGGCTACTCAGATGCCTACTTACACAGTGTGCTTTGTGTGAGGGGGTTAAAACGTGTGCATGCAAAATTATTTTATACATTAATTAAAAGCACCTTTCTCTGAGTACTCTTGGGTTTTGGTGTTCGTTTTCTGTTATCGGTCCTCGTTGCATTTCTCTGCTGTCAGTTCTTCTGTTATTGGTCGTGATCTTCGTTCTTCTGTAATCGGTCCTGGTCTCAGTTTTTTTTTGTTGTTACATGTTCTGTTATTGGTTATCGTCTCTGTTTTTCTGTTATCGGTCATCGTCTTCGTTCTACTGTTATTGATTCTCGTCTTCGTTCTTCTCCGTTCTTCTGTCATCCGTTCTCGTGTCTGTTTTACTGTAAGCAGTTTTCTTGTTGTCAATTCTTCTGTCATCGGTTCCCGTCTCTGTTGTTAAATGTTCTGTTATCGAGAGACGTCTTCATTCTTATGTTATCAATCCTCGTCTCCGTTGTCTTGTTGTCGGTCCCTGTCCTGTTATCGGTTCTCGTCTTCGTTCTTCTTTCATCGGTTCTCGTCTCTGTTATCGATCCACGTCTCGTCTATGTTATTCTGTTATCGGCCAGCGTCTGTATCTGTCTGTTATCAATCCTCGTCTCCGTTATCTTGTTGTCAGTTCTTCTGTTATCAATGCCTGTCCTGTAATCGGTTCTCGTCTTCGTTCTTCTGTCATTGGTTCTCGTCTCTTCTTCTGTAATGAGGCCTGGTCTTCGTTTTCATGTTGTCAATTCTGCTGTCATCGGTTACCGTCTCTGTTATCGATCCCTGTTTCCATTCTTCTATGTTATTGTGTTATCGGTCCTCGTCTCCGTTGTCTTGTTAGTTGTTATGTAATCGGTCGACCGCTCTGTTCACTTATTATCAGTTCTTCTGTTATCGGTTCCTGTCCTGTTATTCTGTTATCGGTTCCTGTCTCTTGTTCTTCTCTTATTGGTCGACGTATATATTCGCTTGTTGTCAGTTCTTCTGTTATCGGTCCCTGTCTCTGTTCTTCTTTTAACGGTCCTCGTCTCTATTCGCTTGTTGCCAGTTCTTGTCTCCGTTCTTCCTTCTGTTATCGGTCGTCGTCTTCGCTCTTGTACTTTCGGTACTTGTTTCCTGCTCCGTTAAGGTCTTCTCTTGTATCTATCGTTGACGTCATTCTGTGTCTATGTCCTGGTTTTGTTAGTCTTGTAGTCCTTTATTCGTTCAGTGGAGTAGCTGGGGATCGAACTCACGACCCCTTGATTACAAGGCAGACAGTGTTACCACTGCACCATAGCGCCCGCTCTGAATAATAACCATTTTTGAAAATCCTTTATACATTAAATACTATTTCAATGGCTAACAAAGGGTGTATTACAATTATATTTTAACACCTCTACTATGTAGCCAACCCACGTGACTTTTATATATGGTCAAAAGAAAATATTACTCGATTTATAACGAATAATATTTTTATAGATGACTTTGCTGTTACTTTAACATATCCTGGAAATTTATTTGAGGGTATCCGGAATTCTAATGTATATCGAATGATGTGATAATCTTCTTGTAGAATTATCTCAAAACCGTGGCTGAATTCCAAAATTTTCGAGAGCTGCCATGGTAAAGCAAGCACACGTAGCAATATCACGGTTTCAGACATGTTATGACTCGATGAAAATATGGTGTTGTTATTGTTGTTGTTGTTTTTAACTTTAACTTTAAATTTTAGATTAAATAGTCACTTATTTTTAAACAAGATAGTAAACATTTGTTGTTTTCTGTATTTTTGTTAAGAATGTGATAAGTATACACTTTTAACTTTAAGATGACTTTTTAATCATCGTATACCTGATTGCACTTATAATTGAATCTGAAAAATGAATTATGCAGATATTATTTTCGGCAGAAAACAACAAATAAAAGCAAAACTATAGAGGCTATTCGTTGCCAAAAATCCAGCCTTTGAAACTTGACAATGCATACTTCGGTTCTACTAAACAGATTAGTAAAAATATAATTGTCGATCTGAGAGTTACATACTGCACTGGTATTAAGCATTTTGATTATCTCGATTTGATAAAATGAAAGCTGTTAACATGCAACTTAGATAAATTGCAAACTGTATTTATAAATGTATAATTTCAAATTTGCGACATGTAGAAATGTAAACGATAGAACGTACACAATACGTTTAATGCTGTGAATCATGACGTTGAGAATGTAACTGCATCAACTTGACACACTCAGGTTTACAACACCACACTTTCCTTTTACATTCTAACGCGATTAACATTTGTAAACGATTTTGCAACTTCCATATATGGAATTATCACGGAAATAGACGAAAATTAATAGGCGGAGCCAATTTCACGAAAGCAGAATATAAAGAGAGGTAACTCTTGCTGGTACAAAAATATTTCAAATTATATAGAAACTGTTGCATCAATCTTGACTTTGAACATCCTCTGATTTTGTTAAAACGTATTCTAGTACAGGATATTCAAGTAATGCAAAAATTGGTTAAGATATAATGTAAAAATGTAACAACGTATATACTGATAATGAGCATAATAATATGCAAAAACTAAAGTTGGTGAAATAACATAAGGAAATGTTTCCCATATATAATGACACACATTCTTGATATCAATGATAGGGGTTTGTGAGCCACGGCAATACTCTAAAGCATACCTTTTTTTTACCTTCAGCAAATAGTACTAGAATGCGATACATGGAATGCACTTTTGGCAACACGAATAAAGAGAACTGAACAATAAGCATGTGCCTTCTTTCTTTAAAGGACTATGTTGGATTGTAGAAAAACTCATATTTTTGACCAAGTGTATAACCACGAAACAATGCAAAGTTTACTATCGATAATTCCTTTGTATAACCAAAACTTGTGAATCTGT